CGGTGGATTTGGTCCCGATAACAATCCGTACTACGATATTCCTCGAAGGAACTGGTTTATTGCACATATTCATCAGTCAAAGCTGCTCGTTTCTGCAAATCATATTATCATACAGTAAAACACTGATTTACTATTCATGGTTCCTATTACTTCTTGGTTGGCTCAATTAGGGACAGACAAGGTAAATAATAAAACCAAAGATGTTTCCAAAAGCTTTATACATATATATTGTTGATTCCCTGGGGCTGAGCCTCTAATATACTAACCGGGCTCTTACCACATTGTTTTGGCGACACCCATACCTCTTTAGATCCTAAGTATACGCAAAATGGGCCTCGATAGGTGCTGGTTTGTATAAGAAAGGAAAACCTTTGTCCACTTGCTATCACGCTACTACTATACTGGGCCCTATATTATAGTATACGAGGGTGTGTAATCGTAGCAGAGTAGGCGGTTTTGGGTAGGGGGACTAACAGCACTGGCAATGCATGCGATGCTACCGGAGCTGAACATTGTTTGAATGTTAAACTTCGGGGCATTTGTCGACCATTTCCAACCTTAGATACTAAAGACCAACCATGTTTATGTCAACAGTACCAGTATTGAGTAGGCTTCAAATAAAGGATTACATCAGACAGCTTCAACTCATCGATTTTGTGCTTCTACTATGTATTATCTACTTGGTATTATTTAGTTTAAAACTTTTGCATAGGGAGCTTTCACGAAAAGACGTCACCTAGATTTCGGCCAACTTAAAGTGTAGGCGAATCTGATTTAGCAGTGGTACAGGTTAAGATCATAACGGGCCATGTACGGTCAATATACTGTAATGTAGCCCTAATGATGGTCATCCCAATGATATCAATATATTCATTCATAACCTACGTCGGGCTTCATTTTTATATATTTATTTTTATAGTCAATACAATTATTTTTAAGACCCAAGTAAGATTTTTGTTTGACACAACAATCGATTTGGCCACCTGTTGCAAATCTTACCTTGTTTCAATTGCATGCTCCCAGTCAGGATGGCTATCTCGTCCCGGCTAGATGATATAAAAAATAGCTTGAGAGTTTGGGTTGAAATAATTAGGATGCTGAAAGACTGTTTTTCTGCTTTGAGCAAAAACAAAGTTTTGGAAAAAGCTCTTGTAAAGCTTGCTACAGAAAGCAATAAATTGGACGACGCAGAACAAGAGGGTTTAAAAGAAATGATTGAGTATTGTCGACAGAGCAGAGTCGCTGAGCGCAAGGCTGAAATTGTTGTTCGGACTTTTCATTCTATTGTTAAATCTACTTTAAGAGCATTGAATTATTCTACAGAAACTGGGAAGATCTTTGAAGGTTTGTTGAAAAAGATCGAATCAAAATCCTCAGAACTTGAAGACGCTATCGTTGAAATTGGTAAAGTAAAAGATTCTTTTTTGCAAGTACAAATTGGTCTTCAGAATAGTCAAAATCAATGGGAATCAAAAAGGAATCAATTGAGCAATGATACTGCTATTCTGAAACGTGGCAGATACAGGCAAATGGCATCAGCCTTACCTGCCATTGCAGGTGTGATCGCAATAGTACCATATGTAGGCCCTGTAGCTGCAATATCTGGAACTTCTGCAGCTGTTGGACTTATAACCGTTACAGTTATGAACTACATGGAGGGATTTGGCGCAGATGAATATCGCCAGCTTATTGATAAGATCAAAAAAGTCGAGCAATTTTTTGAGGAGACCCAGAACTGTTTAGAAACATCTCACGAATCGATTAAGAAAAACTGAGTTTACTGATGAAAATCAAAAGTGGAGTTGATGACACGGTATTTGGCTGTCAGGATGTGTTGAAAGGAATTGTTTCCCCTGATGACGTTAAAGAGGATTTGGAGATTTTAAAAAGACTATGTGAGGAATATTTGGAGCTTTCCTCTTCATTGATGCCAAGAAATCTATTCAAGTTGGATCAACGAATAAGCAGTCCAAGAAAACAGGAAATGTCTAAAAGAAAGCGAAAAAATTAACTTTTACATTGACGCCTGACATTTTTGACAGAAATGCTGACTTGATTCCTTTCTACAAGAAGGCTCATATTCTCCCTGTCGAAAAGAGGATATTTTTCAAAGTGTGCCTTATCTGTTTCAATATGACTCATGGATTGGCGCCGATGTACCTCCAGGAGTTGGTTCAACTGAATAGAGATGATATGGCTGAACAGCAAGTTCTCTAAACTGAAGGTGAATAACAGGCGGTTCAGCAACTATGCACCTGAATCATGGAATTCTCTCCCTCTTGATGTCCGTAACATCAATGATATTGTGTCTTTTAAGAGTAAGTTGAAGAACTATTTGTATTATCAGTTATAGCTTAGTTAGGCTATTGCTAGTGGCTAGGTCTTTTTTGTGTAATTTTTTTTCGAGTATCCATTTCTTGTTTTTTGGTTTTTTCGGTGTGTCAATAAAATCAATCATATTGTATGTATACTATTACCATTTTTTGCGACAGTTAATCCGATATTTTCTCTTTAACATCATTTAGTAGTTTTTGATCTTATGAGACCCGTGTTTTGTTTTGGTTCAATTTCATTTGAGCCAATAGCTGTATAATGAATGCTTAAATATAAGTTATGATTGTCATCGGGTTCTACACAGTGCAGTCGTCCAGTTTTTGTATATCATATTCTAATTTAAAAATTTTCTTCCTACATCAATAACCATGACCATTGACGATTGATATTATGTATGTCACAATTTTTTAGTTCTAATCTTGACTGAAGTCTTTTATAGGATGACGTAATTGAGAAATATGGATGTTAGACTATGGGATGGTATGGATGTTCTAAAACATGCTATGTTAGAGATTAAAGAGTTCCAGGAGGCTTCTTTTGTCAGCGATATTGAACAAATTCTGGAATCTTCTGTGGTTTTTAATAATCAGTTTGGGGATGAACAAAAAAGAGCCATACAGAGACTACTCACCACTCATTACCATACAAAGCAAGCTCAGACCCAAGCACTTATACTAGCTTCAACAATTTATGGGATTGTGGATTACACCAAACGTAGGTTTCAGAGAGAAAAATATGATGCTGAAAAAGTTTCCACTCTATTTGCGAAGAGGGTTCTGAGATCAATCGTACCAGAAATAAAAAAGGTAAAGGACAAAATTGGGGTTGCGATAATCTGTTATTCTGATATCTCTGAGGACATCGGCTGTCTCCTATCTTGGTGCGATTCGAAGACGAAAACTGATGATAAGCTAGCAAGTTCTCCCGAAGCGGTTAGCAGGGCTCACACCTCTGCCTCTATTGGGCTCGTAGCAGTTGCATTTGGAGCTTCCCTCTTAACCGGAAGCTCAGGATCAGCACTGGCTTTAGGTGCTGTCGCTGAGGCGGCAGTCACTATTGTTGCTGAAAACGATCTCAATCGACAGAAAAGAAGACGACTCCTGGACTACGAAGATTATCTGCAGACGTTCAAAGAAAATTTAAGGATATTACAAGGACACCACACGGAATCAAACATTTTATCGAAAATGTTAAAATGTATCGAATTAGCTGAAGAAAAACTGTGCTCAGGAAATGCACGTTCGAGCAATAAACTGAATCGTCCCGATGAAGATTTTTATGGTATGATGAAACAAACATGTGATCACTGGAAAGAGATACACAGATTGTGTTTTGAGGTATGAGAAAGTTAGTGAGATATTGCTATTAATCCGAGAAATTGAAATAGTTGATGGCTCAAATGAAAATGGAACCCGAAAATATCATATGAAAATTGTACACCCTACTTTGTACAATGTACATAGTTTTTGACAGTTATAATTTATAAAAGATTTGAATTTTACTTGTAGTAAAACTACAAGCAAAATTCTACAATGTAGTTTTGACTTTTTAACCAGTATTCCTTTTGAATTAAAAAGGTATTTTTGTATGATCTTGTATGCTGATCTAGATTTAGTTCTTTTAACATCTATAGTCTAGATAAAGCATTATGACCTCAATTCGATTTGTTGTTAAATGTAAGTTGTGAATATGTCAGATTATTTTTCGATTTTAGTAAAACCATCAATACTCATTATTATTAAAGAATTTGAGCAATACTGCTTACTTACTGCTTATTAGTGTGACATATTACATACTTTTATTAGTATATCATATCACTTAAAAACGTAGAGAAAAACAATGTCTGATCCTGTTGAATTGGTTGTCATATTGGCGGGTAGGCGGATCTTTGAAAAACACAACTTGTGCCCACACTCTTAACCATAAAATGGTTATTATTTAAGAGTGGTATTCGAATATGACGGACGTAGAAACTAAAACAATCATAAACAAGCTTTAGAGTTCAACACTCAACTTATTCGACTTAGGGCGGTTTCAATGTCCAAGCAGATATGATTTTTCTCCAGATCTGTCTATCCAGCACGAGCTTGTTTATCTCTTTCTCTTTCTCTTTCTCTTTCTCTTTCCTGTCGCCAGGCCCCGTGTCCCTCCGCAGAATGTCAACATGAGGTGTGGTCTTCCCCTGATGTCCGTGAAAGCGTTCCCAAAAGAGAAGGTTCAACAACTGTAATATAATAGAACTAACGTGTTGCAGGATTTTTTATATGCTGTTCGTGTCTTATTGGTTTTTTGAAGTGATCTTCTTTATACGTTTATAAAAAACATGCGATATGTGAGATTGGTCACTATTAGCTGTATATAAATTTACTTTAAACTTCTAGTCATAGCCAGTTGCTTAGCAACATCCGATCCTTACGTTTACCCTTACAAACATATCATTACGAAAGACATTCGCAAGTATATAGATAATCATACAGTGCACCGGTCAAGAAGTAGAACAATATGTAAAATGTAAATAGTGTTTAAGAAAGGGCCAAGGTTCAAAAACTATAATCCACTATTAGGTTATTTCAAGCGAGGAATATTCATGCTTCAGTTTAAACTAATAGATATAATGTTTAGCAATAACTACTAACTATGACAAATCCTTAATCTGATAATCTCAGGTATTCTGAGCGGTGACACGCCCAACTCGCACCAGGGGACCTCCTCTCCGGAGCTCGAAGACAGCTTTGCTGAGCTGAACACTTCAATACAAGTCGAGTCTGCTTGGTAAGATGAAAATTAATTTAGATATTCATTTGTTGTTGATTTCCTCATTATCGTGTCACGTGTGATCAAATCACTTTTTTTGATAGTCTAAAATATTCTCATCTCGGAAATATTACCGTTAAAAAATTTGATTGACATTTCGACGAGAGGTCCATGTCGTTAGTGTGAGCTTTTCTACTCAAAGAGTTTTTTGAATATTATTTCTCATTATTATTAATTATAGAAATGTTGGTTGAATATTCCTACTCTGACATCTAAAACAACTTCAGTGTTGCCCGAGAAAGCTCGCAGCCAAACGACAGACGTAGTTACCGTCCTCCGCCTCTACCGCCCCGGCACAAGACATAGTACCCTCCTACCACATCGTCCCTGGAATCTAACACCTTTACCAACTTGATGTAAAATAGCTGAGCAACTCGTTCTGATACGTTGGTCGCTTCCTAAAGTAGATTGAAAAGTCGGCCATCGTCTATCGGTTACTCAGTAAAAACTCTTTTTTTACCAACTCGAAGTTATGATGAACAACTCAGAACAAACTCCCTTTATTTAAAAGTTAACAGTACTGACTATAATCATTATGTGCATACTAATACTGAAAGTGCTTCAATAAGCTCTGCGGTGTGTTCATTTTATTGAATTCGGTTTCGTTGAATAGATAGCAGGAAAATATTATTTTGTTATGGTCCGGGCAATTTATAGGACGCCAAAAAGGGCCAATGAAATTTATTCTGCATTTTAATAAACTTTGTTTTCTAGTTTATACTTTGCGATAATATAAGACACAAATAGTATTTTGCAATGGTTGAATGACAAAATTTCTTAATTTTTGTATTTCGTAACTAAGACTGAAGTCACCGTGCCTATATCGTGCCTTGTCACAAATAATTTTGTTAACAAGATTTTTGGTCCAGCATTTTTTTCAATTATGATATAGTTTTCGAAAATCTGGTTAGGATTTTCACATTTCCATTCGTAGGACTAGGAATCAGAAATAAGCCGCTTCATCAAGATTACGCTTTTTTCTGTTAGAAACAGTCGTGAATGAGAACTTCGTGAACGCTTTTGATACTTATGATATATTGGCGTTTCATTTCAACTTTAAAGGTATGTATTAGGTTTATTTTATTGTTAGTAACTTTATTGTTCAGCTTTATACGGAACAGTTAAAATTTTTGTACAGTTTAGAATTTTAAACTTTTCAGTATTATGACACAAACACCGACAGCTTAGTTTTAAATAGAAAATGAAATTTTATGTTATAATTGTGTTGAATACAATAACAATGTCTTACGTTTATTATCATATCTAAAATGAAGAAATATCCGTCACTAGTAATTTGTTTTAACGACATTGTCATTAAAAATGCACATTATTTACGTCCTAAAGTCAAAATACGCTATCATTTTGGTAAAGATAAAATTTCGTACACGCAGAAGTTATAGCGATTTCTTTTTCTTTTTTTTTTCATTGAGAGTCACAAATATGCAAGAAAGGAAGGAAAGAAGATTGTTGACACCAACAACGAAAGCTTGGTTTCGAATTATGTTCAACTCAAATTTGTATTGAATACAATGACATAAAAACTTTATCTTCATATCAAAAATCGTAAGAAACTCAGAAACTGTCACTCTTAATCAATATTTGATAAAACACGCCCAATATCCACACTCAGCAGCCTGCATTTGAACATTCAATGCTAAAATAACCACTTCACGTTCACTTGTAATATGATTCGCTCATGTTCAAGAAAGGAAGTAAAAAAGGGCTAAGCAGGGGTAGAGAGTTTATTGGTGGCTGTGAAATGTTTTTTAACTGTGGCGCTGGCAAGTTTGAAGTTTGTTCTGTTGAAATAGTGCTCGTCTCCCCGCTGCTGTTCTGAAAGAAGTTGCAATTAAGAAGATATTTAACGATATAAGATTTGTGAGATATGTAAATTGTAACTATGGTGTTCACTGTTCATAGGAAGTGCAGAGTATGTTGGTAATGGTGGGGTGGCAGGAAACCGAATTATAAAATTACGAAAGCTTACGGGATTCCTCTCAGTTCTCCCTGGCCCTCTCTTCCATTTCGACCTTCGGTTTTGAAACCATACTTTTATCTGAAACAAAGTAATCAAATGTTTAACTAGCTATTGAGTATTGATAATATCATATACGTGTTAAGGATTTAATGTAATTGGAATAGTTCATCACTCATCGAAATGTAGTCCCCATTAGATACGTCATCTTGCCGACGAAAACAGATCTCCTGAATCATGAATGAGAAATGTACCTGCTCGTCAGAGAGTCCTAGTATAAAAGCCAGGCATGATCTTTCAGTCGAGGTCAGATACTTCTGACTCTCGAATCTTCTTTCCAGTTCTAGGAGTTGTCGTGCTGTGAAGATCGTCCGGGGTTTACGGGCCTTCTTCCTTGCCGCAGAACTGTTGGACGCTGGCGTTTGATTGGCTTGATTAGAAGTTATTTGATCGTGGCAGGGAGGGACTAGTCAAGAACATTGATAAAACATAAAAGCTGCAAATGATGCAGTCAATTTGTTTCCAAGAAACTAATAGTAGTAGTAAATTAAGTTAAACTATAAGTACCTACTAATAGGTTATTGATAATTTATCAGACTATGGCCCTTAATAGAATTAACTAATTAATTATAAGATCCTATTACCCAACAACGTGACGATCTCCAGACCTCAGATGAGGGACCCTACTTATGCTAGCTCCACGTACACAGCATATAGTTTCAGCCTGGTTATAAATTTAATCTAGAGCTAAAAACTCTTTGGGCTGGACACAGTTGATTTAATAGCCGTAATTTTAAGGGGTGTATATAATGAGCCAGTACCCGAAGTTCCATGAGCAACTCTACTCTGGTGGCTAGGTTCGGTAAATTGAAAGTCATTAGTTAGGAGCTGGTTAGACTAAGGGATAATCTACGTCATATTTAGTGGTGGGAGCAGCACCTACATCATTGGAAGTGGAGCACTGAACATACTACAAATAGTATCTAAATTATGAGAACTCTGTAATTATACTGCTCCACGTGGGTAACGCATGCTTCTAATTGAGCATGTTGCGGCAAATGATATTGACCAATGAATTAGATGGCTGTATGATTGCTAAGAGAGTAGACCTGAGCCTTAAACTCATCATTACCTAACAAAGACTAGACTATCACTGTCCCACACCTGTAGCAATAATCTAAGAAGTTGGTCATCTTAGTTTGTGGTCTGAAATAAAACCTGGAGGGTAATAGATACGCAAATCACTGATGCCGTATTGTTTTATGGAGATCTTTTCCATGCTAATATCATGGTAAATGGTGATATGGGTTCGTTTACATATTACGTGATCACTTTTTGACCAATTTTTAACCCCCTCCGTAATCCGTTTTAGACTATTGTCTAGCGTAATAATTTAGAAACCCCCTCCCCCTCAGTGATAACCTAATTTATCTGACCGACCCTATGCTATGGTTGTCCGGTAAGATTAGCACTAAGTATTAATTAAGTATGTACCACTACCAGTGTGGGTTAAGTTCAGGTTTTTGATCTTTATTTATGAATACTATTACCGAATAGAGTGCAAGTAGAATTATTTCCACAGTTATACATTCATTACTCAACTTGAACTAGCCATCATGCATCAGTCATTCTAGGTTTCACAATGATCTTAATCTTATTGAGCGTGACCAGGAGAGGTTTAAAAATCATTTTTATGTTTTACTTATTAATACCTATAATTCTTTTATCTTATAATAATAATAAACTTTAAAAACTCTCACATCTCAGCACTAACAATTTCACAATTAAATTGGACTAGACCTATACTATGAATACGAGAGAGGTATTAAATAGGGAAACAATTGCAATGTTTACTTACCGAAATGGGAGTCAGTCAGTTGGAGGTTTGTAGGTGGCCGTTTTAGCTGTTCCTCTGGTCTGAGTGGTAAATCGTTGACTTCTCTTCTCTGCAAAAATGAGTATTGTAATGGTTATTCTGGTATGGTATCATTAAGTACTAGAGTAGTACTAAACTAAGTACTAAACTAACAAGTTCAGATCTCCTCTCTTGAACTTTTGAAAATGGTTCATAGTATAAATCCAGTGGTTGTTACTTGTAGTTGTGAGAGATAAAGGGAGCCTGAGTTGATGGAGATGGCAGAGTGTCTTGATCTTTGTAAGCAATCGAGGAATTTAGATTGAGACTCCTGTGACAGTTCAGTTTGTTTCAAACGTGAATCTGCTTCAATTCTGGATCTCTGGGTGTAAAGCTGCTGCAATAATGAGTCAAGATCCACATTCAGCTGCATGACTAACTCTGATACCAATGAAATTGCGCGGAAACCTATGTAAATGAAAGCTATTATCAACAATTGTGAATAAAACTATCAGTGATCATGGGGATACTAATGCTATTGACACGGAACAACGGCGGTGTCACGCGTGTTATACTTAGTTCTACTTTTCAGGGGGCGTCACGTGACTCATTTCTAGATGATAGATTAGAACACCTGGGGAGCACCACTTGTAAACACCACTTTCCAGCTGTGGGCTCATAATTTAAGTACCTTTTAGAGTCTAATTCAAGATTAGATTAGGACATAATTCCATGTAGTGCTACCAGCACTAAACTCGCTCATTAATTTGATTCAAACTTATGCCTATATATATTTATACATATATGATATATATGCATAATCTATCTGCAGTACCAACAAAAAACATTTTCTGAATCTGATGGTAATTTTCCACAAGTCTCATAATATTATCTGTTATCGAAAAGCGAAATTATCCATAATCAATAATGAAGCTAGCCACAATATGAATAAAGCTATGAGTATGTGTGAAACAAAATGTACATATTACATGATTACCATGACTCACGTTCTACCCCAAAACTTCTTACCTCAGATTGTTATCCCCAGTGTGCAGAAACGTCGTATCCCAGAGCGAAAGGCCTCAGGACGTTTTACTGGGTGGCGCCAGCTCCTCTCTGTGTACACTAAGCCTAAGGTTTTACTGTCGCCAAGATGCAGATAGGCCTAACGCAGAGTTAGGCCTAACTTTGTTAGTCACCAAGATAAGAGTATATTTTTCACAGCTTTTAGTTCCTTTTTAAAATTTCCGTTCATCAGATTTTCCTGCACTTCTTTTACATTTTAGTTTGTATATATTCTCAATTGTATATGATTCGTATTTGTTATAGTTACTTTAATGATATAATTTCTCAGAAAGTTAGGCCTAACTCTGCGTTAGGCCTAACTGCATCTTGGTGACAGTAAGGTTAAGGATGTTGTGTCCTAGTAAATTGGCCCAAAAGTATGAATGGAAAGCACATGGTTAGGTGAATTACATGGCTAGGTGAAGGTCACGACGTGATACAATTAGCGTTAGGGTTTCAACATATGCTTCAGTTAGGAATTGGGTTTGGGTTAAGGTTGGAATCAGATTGCAGATTAGAGACCGGTTAGGCCAATAGGCCGGTTTCGAATAGTCATTCAGAGCCACCTAGAGCTGAGGACGTGTTTAAAAAGTCACGTGACAGTCGAGTGTAGAGTAAATAATCATCATATCCTATTCCCAACCAGAGCGCTTGCATGTGCAATATGTTACCTGGGGACCTCAGGCTATCATGTTCATAATAGAGATTAGGCGGAATGACAGGCTGAGCGCCGTCCAGTAAGCATTATGCAGTAGCGCGCACCCGCCGAACTAAACGGCTTGAAGTTGGAGCTGGAATATGGAAAAGATTCATATATGATATATCGTCAATCATGAATATTAATTTTTACGCGCACTATATATTTCCACAAAAAGCACATTTAATTTGATTGTTGATACGTGCAAAATTGAAATAGTTTTTTAAGTATAAATTGATTTTGCGCTAACTACTAAGGTCTAGGTGTTGTAGCGCGATGCACTACTGGGTCGCGCGCGCATCAAATAATGCTTCTCGCAACCACATCGATCTTAAGCAGATCGGCGAGATGCGAAGGATTGACATCGTCAATCAAGTCTAGGTGACGTACGCGTAAATTTATCAAAATTGAATGGACAATTTTTTAATTTAAGATTATTTCGATAAACGCTGATTAATTGTCCTTTTCACATAAAAAATAAGACAGTGCAGTATAGAGTTTTTGAGTGTGAGTTTTGATTGACGGTGTCAACCCATCGACGATGCGAAGCAAGAATGCTAGTTTGCGCGGCGCGTCGAATGTCGAAGCGGCGAAGTCCTCCAATTGGCAATTGTGTGAGTTGTAAAATTGTAATTACTTGCCAATCTAATATTGCTCGATACTCGAACCTATGCTATACTGTATACATGTTGATGTACAATATAATACTGCAATACAATACATGCAACAAGCTCGAAAAGAGCGCCGCGCATTGTGATTGGCGTGTCAAGTATTAGTTTTATTGTGTAATATAAGGGTAAATATTACATGTAGTCATTGATTCACGATGTCAATCCTTCGGCGCATGATGTCAACCTTTCTGCTTTCGCATCTCGCCGATCTGTGGTTGCGAGAAGGTGCGCGGCGCGCCCAGTAGTGCACAAATGTAGTCAATTTGCACTTAACTTTTTGATCATTTGTTAAATTACAGTATAATGGTTATTATTTATGATTTAAAACCTCCTCAATAATTAAGTTATATTCAATATTTAAAGTTCTAAACCATGCGCAATATACAACAGTACTTTAAAAATTTAACGCGCCGCGCATATATTTGTTCAGTTTATACAGTTTTGTGAAAATCGAGCGCTAGATAAAAAGTTTTACTTTTTTCACCCCCTTAAATCTATCAAGTGCTGCTCTGTGATTTTGGACAACTCCGTGTTTTCCTTCTAAGTTTCAATTCGACTACGATATTTTTAATTTATATCTCCAACAATGTGGGCTCTGAAATTTGCTGCATGTCTAAATTAGTGTAAAGTATCACAACTCCGGGCTCTTGATATAACTAATTCTTGATCTTGTCCTTGATCTTGTCGACAGTGCACCGAGCCTTTTGAGCTGCCATTCTTAAGCTTCTATCGAATGAATTATCATTAATCCAAATTGAGGCAATCAGCTGACGCGCAGCTTTTATGGTTAAATATGTGATATGTATAATCTGTAACTCAGATATATAATGTTTTTTACGTTTTGAATTTGTAACACTAGTTTTTAGATCATGAATACGATGTAGTTACATTGAAACGTCGAGTAAACTCCTTTTCCTAATAAGAGCATTTTTACTTGTCGCAGTAACCGGGATAAAGATAATTTTACACAGAATACAATCTGTAACAAAGATCAAAATTCAAATTTGTATTCCTTAAAATTTGTATTCCTTGATTGTTGTAATTAGCTGCTCAAATTTTCTGTGTACACAGTCTGTATTCTGTTAAATATAGTTACAATTCTCTTTCTATAACCGTCATCATAACAAGGTCAGTCTATTGTAGCCGATATATGCACCTCATTAAGGGGACAGACACCAAAACTGATCATGGTTATGTAGACAAACGAATTGTTTTGGCTTGAATATTATAGATTTTTATAATTTATACATTTGAAGTTGTAGGCCAATTTTTGTCCTTTTTTACACACACACAATATACAGTTAAACCCCAATGAAGTGCGCCCTAATTCACCGAAAACCCTAATTTACTGCGGCTATTTCCTTTCTCACAAACTCCGCTACTGCACCACTGTAGAGCATCTCATAGGGATTTGAAAATTTTGAAAAAGGAATCAATGTGATAGTTTAAGTAAAGAAAATCGGCCCAAAACCTTTAAAATTACTCAAAAACTGGTATTATAGTGACAGACGTAAAAAAGCTACTTTAAATTACTAATGGAATAGTGGTTGTTTCTCACCATGATCACCAAAAGTTACTAGTTTTTATGTACGTTGCTCCCCAATGTTCACCAAACGTAACCTGTTTTGATGTACCCTACTCCCTAAGTTCATTAAAATTTACCAGTTTTAAATTTGTATGTACCTTTCTATTTTTGTTCGCTAAAAGTAACCAGTTTTGATGGACCTTACTCCCCAAGTTTACTAAAAGTTACTAGTTTTGATTTATCAAATTTTTGCCTATTTTCATCCATAAAACAACGAGAAATTTGGATTTGGTGATGGGTAAAAACACAGAAGAAGGAGTTTGAATGGAACAAAGTGAGTATCGACATGTCAGCTGCCTTCAATACCATCCGCAGAGGTACAACAATCAGACTACTAGAAGCTGCAGGATGCTCCAGAGACGACCTGAGGCTTGTACAATACCTCATGGCTAACACCACTCTAGTAGTCAGAGTGTGTTCTACTGACTCAGAGATGTTCTCTTTCAACATAGGAGCCTCCCAAGGAGACAGCACAGCTGGTAAATTGTTTACCCTCAATCTAGCTGAAGCTGTAGTGCACATAAGAGCAGTCCTCCCCTCAAGACCCAACCCTCCGATAGCCGATAACCACATGCCTCTTGAGTCCGGCTATTCAGACGATGTAGAGGAGATTGGTGAAGATATGGAGGAGTTACAGGATATCTTTCAGATCTCCAAGAATATTCTAAGTGAATGGAGTCTCTTTGTCAATGACACAAAGACAAAGTTTACCAGAGTATATTTGGAAGAAGTTGGTGCCTGTGACGAGTGGGGTAACGAACTAAGAGGAAAAGAGGAGTGGAGAAACGAGACGCTTCTTGGTACTAAGCTTGGATCAGAGCAGGATGTTACTAATAGAATAAATAAAGCTAACTCTGCCTTCTGGTCATTTGACAAGCTGTGGTGCCAGGGATCAGAGAGGAGTCAGATAACTGAGAAGAGAAAGATCAAACTCTACGACTCACTAGTAGTATCAGTGCTCCTGTACAACTGCTGCTGCTGGGCCGTACCTCAGCATGTTCTAGAGTCTGTAGATGTTGTTCAGAGGAAGCACCTCAAGCGCATCCTACACATCTATTGGCCTAGCTCAATATCTAACAAGGCCCTCTACGCTCGTACCCAGACCAGGCCCCTTTCCGAGAGAGTGGAAAAGGCACGGTGGACAATGCTAGGTCATGTTCTACGCAGTGACAACGACACACCTGCCTACCAGTCTCTGTTATTTGCTACACTAGGATGTCAAACACTAAAGGGACGAGTGGGTAGACACAGAACTAATTTGTATGATATTATTGTGAAAAAGGACCTATTTAAGAGACAAATTTATTTGAAAAATGAAGATGATTTTACCAACTTAGTGAACTTAGCAAGAGATAGAGAAGGATGGAGGAGTTTATTTACTTTGAGACATATTGAACGAATGAGTCTTCGTAAGCGTAAATAGGCCAGCACTTTGCTGAGCCTCTTTAGGTGCTCTTTTGTTTATAAATGTTATTATATATATATAAAAACACACTACTCTTACAACACAACCACCTACCAGCCTTACAAACACTCACTACTTCTAAAAACAACCACCAACCAGCCCTAAAAACAACCACCAACCAGCCTTACAAACACTCACTACTCCTAAAAACAACCACCCACCAGCCTTAAACACTCACTACTCCTAAAAACAACCACCCACCAGCCTTAAACACTCACTACTCCTAAAAACAACCACCCACCAGCCTTAAACACTCACTACTTCTAAAAACAACCACTCACCAGCCTTACAAACACTCACTACTCCTAAAAACAACCACCCACCAGCCTTAAACACTCACTACTCCTAAAAACAACCACCAACCAGCCTTACAAACACTCACTACTCCTAAAAACAACCACCCACCAGCCTTACAAACACTCACTACTCCTAAAAACAACCACCCACCAGCCTTACAAACACTCACTACTCCTAAAATCAGCCAGCAGAAGTGGTTCACCAAAAGTTACCAGTTTTGGTGTACCTTACTCACCCAGTTCAATGTTTCCACCCTAAACAGCTACCAAAATTTTCTGGCAGATCATCTGCCGTCTTTCTAGCTTATGGATTTGGAGGAGTGCCTAAAATAGGCAAAATAGGGTATATGTTAAACGTATAATGATGTGGTGTACAATGTAAAACCCTCATATATCAGGGTGTGCTGTAAATCAGAGTTTTAACTATTCACATAATAATCTAAATCGGAAAGCTGTCATTTAAAGGATGAGGGGACCTTAGAAAAAGTTTTTTTCTCGTGCAAATCCTTTTATTACATTAATCGTATAAACCACTTTAGAGAAATCCGCAAAGTTGTATTTCATTCGCGCGCCGAGATATCCAGCCAAAACAATTTGAACCTGTGACGTCAATTATGTGAGTTGCTCTGATCCGCGCATATAGAAATACAGGTAAAATGAGCGTGCGGGCCGACTAAATTACTAATTAAGAATAAATTAACAATTTACGATACTAACGAGCCTATAACCAATGGAGAGGAGACTTTTTATGACCGGTTGAAAAAAGAATTATCACCCTACGATAACCATGAGCCGAGATACACCTGGAATAAGATTGAAGTCACACAGAAAGGCATGTAAATTATGTATATTTATAGCTCCCAACGTAACACCTAGCAACTCCCTGTTTCGTACCACAGTTGATATATCAACATGTCATATCAACACAACACGGTCCTATTAAAAATGGATCGGGTAGGTATGAAATGCATGTCTTCATTCCAGTTGGACAAGCACCAAGCACCAAGCTTTTAAGTTCTAACTCACTATGTGACACTACTTATAACGTAAGCAAGATTTGCAACTATTACACCAAGCAATATTATACCAAGCATAGCAGACGAACACATCCACATTCGTTACGCTTTACACTCAAGTCACAGCAAACTAAAACGGTAAATTATAAATGAGTGTACAACTTAAGGCCGGTACACGCGCAGTGTCAAACCGCACGTGCGTACTCAGATAGGACTAGAGGCGCCAAGGGCCAGCTAGTAAAATGTCTTCTACTACATCATACATTCTTTTTAATTGTGTCCATATCGGGTTTCAAACAAGTCAAAACAAAATAGCAGTTTGTGGTTTAGTTAGCGGATGCTACTTATCTTAGCTATTTATAAATAGAAATACCTACTACAACTACAAGAAAGCCTTTCTGAGTTACATTTAACTATTATTATTAAAGAGAATTATTCGTAACTTAGACTAATTCAGTGCAACCAAAGATACCGCTCTCGCAAACGCCAAAGGTAACACGACGTAATTAAAACAGAACAGAAAAAAATGTTGACACGAGCAAAGGGTGCGCGCGCACGTTGGTCTTAACACATAAGTGACGTCACAGCCCAAAATTGCTATCAGCCAATAGGAGCGCGGCGTGATATTGCACGAATTAACGATTTCACAGTCCGGCGTATTTTTTGATTCTACACACTTTCACAGGACTTAAACGCGAATATTTGGAAGTAAATTCTAAGGTCCCCTCATCCTTTAAGGGAAGGTTTGTGTTAACTTGGGGTTTGAGGTAAATCAGGGTTTTATCGTATCATGGTATTATATATCTTGGTATTAACCGTCATTTATACTTCACGAGTTTCAATGAAAATAAAGTTATCTAAACTGCACCTAGACTATACATTAAAACAATTCCAGCCATGGCAGAAGCAGAAGATCAAGGAAACAGTATTTCTGCTGACTTTGTAAAACTTGTAAGCAATGACGAACACGAGTTCATTCTGAAGCGGTCCCATGCTCTGACTTCTGGTACAATCAAAGCTATGCTGTCCTACCCGACCAGTTTCAAGAACAAAGAAATGAGCAAAGTACAACCTTTACTTGTTGTTTCTCCCTTTTTCATATCATTATCAGCTTGAAATTTAGACCTTTATGAATTTATTATAAGTATTACCTTTTTAATTAAGATCTTTTAAACAACCGATATCTAGCTATTAAAACTGAAGTTTAATTACAAATATTTCTCAAACCTCCCCTGTCGTATTGTAGATATAAGATATGTTAATTTATTATTGGAGCTCTCTCCCTAACTCCGTATATAAAGTATTGTATCTCAGGTGCAGTTCCGGGAGATCCCATCCCACGTTCTCTGTAAAGTCTGCATGTACTTTGCCTACAAGAACAGATACACAAACAGCACTTCTGAGATCCCTGAGTTCCCAATCGAGCCTGAGATCGCTCTGGAGCTTCTGATGGCTGCCAACTTCTTGGACTGTTAACAAGGAGGAATCTGCATAAAGATGGGACAATCTGCCTTCTGCTAGTAGAACTAAGCTGAGCACACATGAGTTTGTTATTTGCGATTTGATATATTTGGTTCCTTACAGTGTGTTAGTTCACAGGAAATATTTCATAAATGCCGAGCACTTCAAGACTTGAAGCATGAATTATGTTGTATATATTCTTTGAACCTTTCTTTCCTTATCATATGTTAAAAAATTACAAAGATGCTGATTAAGATATGATAATTGTCTAGTTATTGCATTTACAAGTTTATTTGCAAATTTCATGAATTGTACTTCTTTCAATCCTTCGGTTTAGTAGATAACATTTGGCTGTTACCTGACCAACGGTTACATTTTTCGACAAGCACCCTGACCTGCGGGCTGACATTGTTCACAATAACATTGAAATATGAATTCTGTTGCGGCGCGCCCATCATGAATTGAAATAATAGCAGCCGCCAAACGCTTCCATGGCAATGAAAGTTGTGAGTTCAATGCCGGCAACCTGCATGCTCCAAATATAACATTAATAATTAGGTATTAGCTAACTATTGAATTCACTGATAATACTTCAATGCACAGCTAGACTTTGTGCCTTTCTTTATTATGATTGTAAAATACTATGACAATATAGGATGTGGTGAGTTTTTCTATCTGAGCCCCTCACGATGGACAATGTTGAAGACTGCAAGAACTTCAGCGAGCTCCAGGGTTACTACAGGAGGAAAACTGAAGAAATCGCAGCAACTACCGCCCTCATGGCAAAATGTAATGACTAGTTTGGTTTACTGCTGGTACAATCTAGATTTTTAGATGGCGTATGTCTGATTGTCCTGTTTTCATTAGACTATTAAACGTTCTCCTCAGATTCGGACATCAGCTCGATATTAGATGAGGACAGGACAGTCTTGAACGAGATATGTACTGATCTGGGCAAGAGTCAAAAACTGTTGATAGCCGTGAATACCGAGAAGGAAAAGTTGGCGTACACTTTGGCTTGTAATAAGGTCAGTGAGAGGTGATCATATATAATTTCCAGTAAATAATAAATTTACCACATATTATATAAGATTTCTTTTGGGTGTATTTTCTGCGATTCTCTGTATGGATCAGCAAATCTAAAATAACCATTAACCAAATTCTAAAACTTTACAGGTGACATTAGCCCGGCTGGATGTACTGAAAGAGCGGTTTCAGGAACAGCAAGAGAATATACCAAAACACATGCCAACTCCAGCGAGTAGAAAGGAGGAGGAGGAGAATCAGATCGAACAAATCGAGCAGATCGATAAGCCCATATATCGACCGGAAACCAAAAAATCGAAGTTACCTTGGTAAATATTTTTTTGACGTGTTCTTTGCTTCACATTTTCCATATTTTCCATACTACCTGAAATATCGGGCGTGATACTTGTGACCAAATTCAGAACTGTTTTACATTATATCCTCCTCAGTGTGCGTTTTGAGGAAGAGACGCCAGCTATCAAAACCATAAAAACTCGCCAGGTTGCAAGTGCCGGATCAAAGATACCCAGCAAAAACAAGAAACAGAAACTATCCCGAACGACTATAGTGCCTTTAATGAACTTCCTCACTACTGAAGAGTTCAAATCTCTACCAAAGTCAGTATACCTTTCTGAGATATCGTGACTTAATGTAACTTAACTGTTAAGATGTTGGTGACAGTAAGGGATCGTTCACATATTACCATATTTTAAAGCCAAATTTTTGCCATTTTAGACCCCTCCCCCCGTTACTACCGGTTCCTAATACTATCACCAACATGTAAACCAACATTGGACCAATGGTAGCATGTTTGCTACAAGTTGATGACAAGTAATTTCACTTGCCGAGAAGTAAAATTATCAAACCAAGCTCAAATCCGACCAAAAACGGTTAGGGGCCATTCACATGTTAGGTAATCAGCCGAGGGGGGAGGGGGGTTTCCAAATTATTACGTTAGTGTAATTTTTACACGATAGCTGATTACGGAGGCTCTTATTCTAAAAATTATGGGATACATACCATCTCCGACTAATTTATGACTCTTGTAATCCCTTGCCTTACCAGGTACATGGTGGGAAGAACAAAATACGACCTGATAAACTCTATGATTGAGGAGCTGAACACGGTGACAGTTAGCAAGTACAAGATCATCGACTCACCTGTCAACAAGCTCAATTCTGAAAACATGCGGCGGTTCAACGTAAGTTGAGATGATCAAAGAACCATGAACTTTATATTAATATAATGTTGCAGGCCACGTTTATTTAATTTTGTTCAGATCTCGTCTCTAATCTCCCTTATAACCAATCAATATTTTCCCTGATGATTATTGAATGAATATCCTTAAATATTCAGAGGATGACGGCGCACCCGGAGACGAAAGATACGGCAGGGATGGTTTGGTTTGAGGTCGAAGACGTCAAAGACTTCGCATCAGTCCCCACTCTTGCACCTGCCTTTCTCAAGATGGTGCCTATTTTAAGACATTGTCATCGACTGAGACAAGTGAGGGCAGGAAAAGTGGAGAGATACATAGTCTTGCTGTGATGAAGTGCAAAGTTGAACCAGTGTTAAGTTGGTCAAGATATGGTACATTTTGAATTTTGATGCCAAATCGGACGATTTTTCTTGAAAAAAGACCTCTGTTCGTTGTTACGCCCATGGGTTGGAATCTTGGGACTACAGATGGTGGATCATGGTAACTTATCGTACTTCATGCCTGACAAGATGAATTATTCTTAATAGTACAATATGAATTTATGTCCTGACTTTAATACCGACTTTTAACTATACCCTTACGAAACTATTAATATTTATTGTAATGTTTTTAATTGATGAAATTAACCATATTTTTATCACTTTAAACATACGGAAAAATGTCTTTATTTTGCTGGGAGTTCTTTTATTGTCGAATTACTTGAACTTAGGGAGCGTTCACAATGACGTCAGCAGCAGAGGGGGGGGGGGGGGGGGGGGGGGGAGGGGGGGTATCGTCTTCCACCAGTGCTTACTCCCTTGCGGTTCGGGATCGCTCACATATTAGATTAAAGCTAAGTCAGGGGAAGGATTTGGTTGTCAGACGCTGCCCGACCCATCATCTCATCGGCAGCCGACGAAGCTAGATGTTGAACACGAAGCCGTATAAACCTTGCAAGTGTAATTTGTAAAAAATAAAGTGGCTTACGTAGCCTGGGGTCTACTCTGCGCTGTATGAATAGGTTGTTACTGCCGGAGATATTCTTACTTTCAGTGTACAGTGCACGTGGTTTTACACCCCCTTGCCTGGACAACCTTTTAAAACGTGTACAGCCATACAGGGCACGTACGTACGTATCTTTATACGTGCATGTATATTATGCGCGCCGCAATGATGTGTCCGGAAATTGGTGGTCTTTAAGCCCAGGTGAGCGCCTATTTGTGCTAGTAGTGAGCACATCTTACCACGTTGACCCACATCAGAATCCTGCCGGACGCGTAATATCCCCATTGCGACAAAGTGTAATAACTAATAGTTGTCCCTCTGAAATTTAATTATGCGCACATCACATGAATACACACTTATTGTATTTGCGAATTTATTAACAATTGAAGTTTTACGTGCAAACATTACCCCATAAATGCTAAACTCTGAACTATTTAAAACAATCGATATTGTGTGAATTACAAATAAAATTATTTCAACAAATAGTCTAATTGTAGTTCAGAATTAAGTATTAACGCAGATTTGACGGTGGCAAAATGTCAAACTAAAATACTCCGACAATAAAACTTTTTTACAATTAAACTCAACTTTACCGACCAAGCTAGCTATGATACTCTAGAGTATGACGCTTAATTAATTCTAGAAAAAAATAAATCGTACATGCGTCTGCCCCAAAGTTCTGTAAATCAATGTCAGTGTTAGCTACAAAACTATATCGTTTCCAACGTACCGGCAGTAATGCGATTCTACGATCATGATCAATAGACATAATTTAGGAAATTTAGAAACGGTCCGAAACTTTGTAATTACAATTTATCACTACAAGGTTAAACTCAAGTTATTTGCGACCTTTTGTTAGTTTAGCTAATAAAAATAGAAACTTTATCCATTGAAATTGATTTTATCAGCGCTTCAACACCAGTATATATAAGTTACCCTGCTGTATAAAATGGAGCTAGTCTATTTAAAGAAACTAGCCACAACAGCCCACAGCACCTCATCGGCACCGTCCTTTACTGCTTCCATGTCCGGGTCCAAATCCAGTAGTTCGCGCACGCGCTTCATCGCAAGATCGTAATCCTCGTCGGAAAGTGAGGAAAAGGCGTGTTCGAGAACCTCACTGGCCTGCGCCAGGTACACCAGCGCTAGAGCGCGCTTGTCCATGCGCTGAGGGTCGTTGATCCACCTACTGAGAAGTGTGTCTTGGATTTTCTTGATCACTCCTTGTTTTTGGCACTGGTCTAAAAGAGGGTGGGTCGTCATGTCGAAGACTACAAAGTTCTGTTTTTCAGTTGTCAGTATTCCTTTTTCCACTAAGTTCTTGGCTATCCTTTCGCGGACATTTCTGATCTGATATCTTAGCTTCAGTGGGTTCCAAGTCTCGCCTGAAGGGATACTAATGTCAAATAATTCGATTCTATACACAAATAATGTATAGTATATAATGTATACATGTATTTAGAGCTTTTTAAATTTATATAGTACAACCAATATTTACAAACCAACTTCTCGTAGGGTGGCAGTTATTCAACTCCCAAATAAGTCGTAAAGAGGTAGCCAGTAAAATTTAACAAAAGTGATATTATATATAACATTGCCGTCATTTCGTGTGACTATCCTTCATCATATGGACCCGTGTCAAAGCCGACGTGTACACATTTATATTGTAAAGCTGCTGTATTAAAAGATATATTATAAACTAGTTTAATAAGTCCTTTATCTAGTGGTATTGAGCATCAGGTAATAGGTTGACGGGAAGGTTTGTAAATTAATTACATTTGAAGAGGTAAGAGAGGTGAGGGCGAGGGACAATATTTAACAATTTGTACATTATGCAACAGCCTATATGCAATTAGTTATTTGTATATTACAGAATATACAGATACATGTTTATTATGCAAACAAAATTCGATTAATCACAGAATAACTATAAGAACATTGTGTATGATCAAACTAACGAACGACTCATTAAAATTGCGCAATCTGAGTGTAGGAACAATGAACACCACATCACTAATACTTTGTTATAATAACCAAAATCACGTACAAATAAAGACCGGGAGCAATCATGTTGCCTGGCGCCGGGGGTTTGCCTTTTTTGGTGCCCCAAATGAGGCAAATTGAGGTTGGAACTCCCCCTTGCAGGATAAAAGTCAAATAACACAAACCACTGAGTAGCTCAATCCAGCTCTGACATGTTTCTGGTGGATCTGTTTCTTTAACATGACGTAATGCTTCATCCAGTAGAATGTCCCCACATGGCGTATCGTTCTTCATAATTACCTGGGACCACAAACATTTTACAGAACATACAAACAATTGCAGTTACACTCGGTATATATAGTAAGAGTCTTACTGGACACAGTGATAATACATTTAAACAGTAAATAACACGTGGCAAGGTCAGTGCTCGTGTAATGTGTATATAATAATGCCCTAATCGTGTTACAATGCTCTTCATTCGTAACGCTCTTTGTCTTCACTATTTAGCCTTTTTTACAGCGCTGCAAGAAGTGATTGAGTGTGCCGGGCCAGATGTTGAACAAAGCAGTTTAGGTAGAGCCCGTTCAAGTTTAACGTAATTACTTTTGGGCCGCTTTTGACCCCTTTCTTCTCCTTGAGCATTTTAATACACGTAACCATTGTGTAGAAATTATACTAGACTAATTATTTCGGACCCCCCCTCCCCCTTAGTGATTACCTAATATATGATTGCTAACTTAAGTAAATATGAAACTGTTTGAGACGTACCCTGCGGCTGAGCAGGCTGCGTTTCCTCATTCCCGTGTTATCAAGAGTGATCCGTCCCCGAAGTGCAAGTTCTATCAGCATAGCTCCTCTTAAACCCGACGAGATATTATCGTTCCAAAACGAAGTGTAACCCTGGGTTGAATCGTTAATTAAACTTAATCAAACTTATTAGAGGTGTTCTGGTTTGAAAATGGCACAGTAAGAACTTCAGCTACAGTATTCTGATTTCTGATTTGAGGTTTGGCTTATGTCTACTGTAGCTGTCTAGCCTTGCTCTTTCGCGTGAATATATAATTTGTTTTGACATTTGCACTGAATTGCCCATCAGATTTGAAGCAACCAATCCAATTGTCACATTTCAAAGCACAGCTTCTCCGCGAAACTCATTCTATTCAAAGCAAACCCCAAAACAGTCGATAATAAAATTACGGTGGATGAGTAAACTCATAACATTCAAAAATTAAATTACTGATGTGAAGTGATACATTACGCAAGTGCATTTCATCACCAGTTTTCGAGGACAGGCTTGTGCAAAAATGGACGAGCAATATAAATAGGATCTTATCAAAAGATTGAGAGGGGATTATTACCATTTTTCCGATATCCTGTCATCCTACCGTCTAATATGTAATAATTGTATGAAATAATTCATGTAATAATTAAAATTCACGAAATTACATATAAAATTAAACCTTCCAAATTTACCTCTTTATCTTTTATTCCTACAAGAATGACCTCCTCAAGCAAAGTCAACCTAACATCTTTATCGAGAGGGGAGTAATCTTCTTCGGTGTCTGACACTGGCTTCTCTTGTGTGCCCTGAGAAGGAAGGTAATGTTAACCAAGCTCATCATAATATATTCTCCGTGCGTGTATGGTAGAGATATTTCTTGACAGTATGATATAAAAAAGTTCGAATGATTAGCTTGAACTCATCTTCTCAACATGCGAATAAATATTTTCTGTAGTTTCCCAGTATAAATAGAACATTCCATCGGATATTAAGTGACCCTGACTCGTGATTTCCTTCACTCAAAACTGTATTGCACCCCAAATGAATTACACGACAATTTTATAGTTAACTTTTCACGTGTAGTGAGCAATATAATCTAGAAGAGCCGGTGTTAATGTATGATGTGTGTCAATAAAGTGTTAAATATGACCGTTACCTGAGCGTCAGATCCAACAATTCGTCTCTGAACGAGGCCCTCCCTTGATGCCATAACCAAAAATATCTGTTTCTGCCTAGATATCGGCTACATCATTTTTACTAAATCCTATTGATAATTGTAAAAGCTTGTTAGGTCTGCCATTCAGAAAAATATATAGCGTATTCCTCAGTGTTATAATATTTGTAATAATATATAATTATAATAAAACATTTATTTAATCATTTGTTTATGGAACCTCTAAAGTGTGATATCAAAAATTCAAACAGAGACTTGATAGCGCCCATCTAGATCTAGATCTGGTCTAAAATAACAGAAACTGTTACTCCTCCTGAATCAATCCATAAGAGCTCAATATCAAAAGTAAAAATATTGTAATAGTTGTGACAATTTAGTCAGGCAAAATGAATCCTAAATCTATAAATACTCTAAATACAAATAAATTGGCGATTCAAAACCGTCATAATAAGGCAATAACTATAGCTGTACAAAATTAATAAAACAGTATGAAATAAATACAACTTGCACAAACATGTAATTGCAGCAGTCAATAAATAGTGATTAGACTGAAGATTATAAAATTACTGTCTGTTTAATACCCATTATATAAAAATGAGAAGTCAGACTAGGCTCTCACAAATTTCTAAACTCTGGACTTTACAGTTTGTATACGAAAGCTGGTTCGTGCGAGGTTGAGATGTTCGACATGTTCGACATGATTCATTCCTCTAGCTAGAAAGCAAGATAACCTCATCTGAGTCAAAACTTGGTTTGAGCATATAAAACAGCTTTCTTAACCGTTGCGTCTGTGAATGCGATTCTTAAATTAACTTTATGACATTTGATTAATTTTAAAGCATTAAAAATCGTGATTACAAAGTTGGTCCTCATCCGTTTGAATAAGCATGGATATGAGCCACAACATCATTGCACTTCAACTCCATATGTAGTGTGCAGCGCCCTGTTTCATCTGGAGCGGTGTAAGTTCTTTTCATGCTGAAACCGTTTCCTCTTCTCTTTTTTCTCCGCTCACCTTCCTCCTAGGAGAATGTGTGTTGTAAGTGGTGTTATTGCTCCTATTGGTCGAGAGATGACTATGTCAATATCTATAGTCAAGTCAGTAGCTGTAACTCGAAACAATTTAAGGTTGGGGACTGGGGAGGGAACAAATATTTCCATGATATGAAGAATTTGTTTCACTTCTAGTTGAAAAGCTGTATAATACAAGCTGTAATATCACCATCCCAGTTACCCTTTATAATCGTGATTTTAAGTTATCAAGATATATATATTATATAAGTATATAATAACGAAAAAGAGGCGACAGCGAGCAAAAATTGTTCTTCAAGTAATTTTTCTTAACAAACCTGGTTGGAGGCCATTGATACATATTTGGGGTTTTCTCCCACTTTGACGTAGAATCTGTTACTGATGGTTTGAATACAGGCATACATTCCCTTCCGCTCGAGATAACAATCATACAGAACAGGTTGATAATAGAGCAAATCGTGTCCTGTGAGCTGCATGCTGTAGTCGAAGCTGTCTTCATTCGTTTTCTTGGTGAAACTGCAGGATATTGATAACTCTTTCATCTTTCATTATTACTTAATGCATGACAAGTGACAACTTTGTATTTCTAACTGGTATTATATATGAAAAATGAAAAAGAAAGGTAACATTTAAAGTACCTTGTCTTCATCATCTCCTCCTTTAAAGTAACCTCAGCTTTATCATAAGTTTCTACACCACTTTCGGTTTCTTCTAATTTTTGTGGTGTATACGTGTGAGAGGGGAAGCTGAAATATTTCTTGAAACTGTCCCCAGCAATGCTAACCAGCTCCACTACGTAGAAATCACCTATAAGTGAGAATAGATACACATGTCACATTTGAGTTAGAACAACTTTAACTTTGAAAATTGTAATTGTGTCTATTATATGGTATTAGTATTGAGCCACTTTAATTGCTCATACTTAGCTTAAATTCTTGATATTAAATCATGCATGATAAGGTTGTTAATTTTAAAAACTTTTTCGATTTTAAGCATCTTATTTTCCCATCCTTACGCTGGTCATCAAATACCCCTGATCGTTTCTTGCTGCACGAGAATTTGCATTTAAACTTACCAGCAATGTGAATGACATGGAAGGTTGAGACATCCTCGTCGGCACAAATTATATCAGTGGTTCCAAAAACAGCAGAAAGAAACTCTAGCTCGCCTTTCTCTTCGTCAACTATCCATTTTCTTTGAAACCAATCCATGCTACCGAATAAGTAATTGATTAAAAATTGTTATTCTTATAAAATATCAAATGCAGGGATCAACTTTGATCCAGAAATTGAAACATTGTCAATACAAAAATTTAGTACTTCATGTGATTCTTAAGAATTTGGACATTGACACATTTTCACCGCCAGTTTCTTGCCCCCTGTCAAATCCTTTCCATTGAAAAAAAATTTCCATCCACCTTTTCGTAAAAAAGTCAAGGTGGTAGGTTACAAAGGGATTTTAGAGATCAGGGTAGGTGGGTTAAGATATGTTATGTGTCACACTTTGCCATGACAACAAAACCAGGGTTGCTCCTTCATAATTTGCGTAAGGCTGTAATCAGTGCTCAGCTAATATATGCTATGGTGAACACAAACACCGAACAATCAAAATTTTCGTAGCAGTAGAGAAATAAACAGAGAGCAGCCTTAATGTTTATAGAGACATGAAATGGTTACCACTCCATCTTAGACGACAACTCCATCTGTCAAATTATATGTTTAGAATCATCCATGACAATTGTCCTACAAACTTTATGAACAAATTTAGTTACATATCAGGAGGTAGTAGGAGCGGCGAAAGCTGCAACCTATATGTTAATAGATCAACATCACATAAAAACTTTCAATACTTGGGGGCAAAATGTTGGAATAATGTTCCAACAGATCTACGAAATCTGCCCGATGTTAAAAGCTTTAGTGATTCGTATAAGAAACAGCTACTCTCATCTATAACAACAGACCCTAATTATACCGTCGACAATTCATATGACAAATTTTACACTGCAATCATAGTCGACGATAACTAAGTATCTTCTATTTCTTTTAAATCTGAGGCATATATAATTGAAGTGTCGAAAGGATATTCCCTTTTTTACCACCTTACCATTCTGATTGATTCTGCACATGACTGACATGTTTTAACTGGAGAAGGGGTTCGCACAGTGGTAGTTTTATAAACCACTTTTAATTTATTGACCTATTATACCTAGTGGTAGTTTTACAGACCACATTTAATTTATTAACTTATTATACTTAGTATTTATTTTTGGTGACTGTATCACCCAGTACAGTTTTAACATTTGATAATTGTACAGTTTATTGACGACACATTGACCGAATGTTATTTTATATTCTAATTTATATACTAGATATTTTATTTATTTTCCAACAGACGACAACTTCCTGTTTTTTTTTTTTCTTCTATATTAGTTACTCATATCTCTTGTACAGACTGTTCTACAAGGACATTGACAGATGATACTCATATTAGGCATTCATTATTGCATCTAAATTATTTCACTTGCATTAGGTTTAGAAATTTATTCTCTGGTTAACAGATTTCAAATGTTTAATTAATTTGTAGTATGATAGTATATAAGAAGTTATTTAATTTTGCTTGGGATGTTGTGTTGACTGTTATGTTGGGGTTTAGTGGTGGTATGGAATTTGAATTCTATATAAATTTACACTATGAGGTTGGGGCATTTTGCATAGTAAATATGGTTACTACTCCTATATATCATATTATTTGATTGGTATTCGATTTCTGATTATTTCCCTAGGAATATGATTATTATATCTCAATTTGGCTTTAGGTAGGGTGCCCCGCTAAAAGAACTGGATTCTTCCAGGAAGCATCCCGTGCACAGAGCTTGGTCTACATATATATATTAAATTATTAACCATTCATTCTGTATGTGCACGGAAATTTATTTCAATCAATAAAATGTCAGCTGGATCGATCATTTCAATTCAATCAATAACCCAACATAATACAGGGTAGGCCAAAAGTCAGTGTGCAAACGTTGGCCTTAATAGCTCAGTCACTGAGTGCCCAATTGAAATAATTTGTTCTGGTATGACTTACTACCACCACTGGTTCGAGAAATTTGTCAAATCGAAACATATTTGTGTTCATTTTTTTCAAAAGAAGGTTCATTTTCGCATTTATTTGATAGTTTGGATAGTCGGATCGATCCAAATTTTATTGAATTGTGTTTGGCCATTTAAATTACGTTTGCCCTGAAAAAAATGAGAGTTCTAGGTTCTCAGATGACCGAGATATGAACCTTAACGAGGTTATTCATTACGTGTGATCAGGTGATTGGCTTACCTGATCACGTGATAAGGTCACCCCGTTAACCACACCGTTAAACATAATGGGAATCGTTAAGGCTGCCCAATTAAGGTGTCGTGTCACGGTGTCACATAATCACCCAGTCAATTTTGTTAACGAGATACACAAAATGCTTGATAACTTCGTCAATTCAAATCCGTTACACATCATTTTTTCAGATCAGATGCAACATTTAATAATCTACCGTCTCTGAAAAAATTAGGCGTCCAGCATGTTCAGAGAGAACAATACAGGTTTTCTAATATTCCCAATATTGAATGGACGTGGTTTAAAATATTCGAATTTTCAAATTTTGGCGACGGAATCCTCGAACCAGTAGGTACAGTAAACCATCTGCAAAGCAACAACCCTCAAATATAAAACACGGCGGAGGTATAAGACCCAACGTTTGCACACTGACTTTTGGCCAACCCTGTATGAAAGCAAGGTCTAGTGTGGCGAAATTTTAAATGTATTGTATTGACTAAAGTAAAGTAAAGTAAAGTAAAATTTATGACATCACATCATCACACATGTCTACAAACTATCATCGCACTGTGTGAAAAAATATATAATAAATATTTCCCCACCAACATTAATTAATTATCAAATACAATATTTAAAAACAATTTCATCAAAAACATTACCCTATTTTAAAAATTTCCCAGTGGAATAAAGATTTATAAAACGCTTTGCCACATAAGGATGGAACCAAAGATAATTGTTATGTTTCTCTTTATTACTGACATAACTGGCTCCCTCAATTCTTACTTCATTAGAAACATTCCAAAAAAAGCAATCATTTGTAATACTTTTAGAAATCATATCTATCTTATATCCTTCTAATTTAATTTTAAAACCTAAAACTGTCACAGAGTTCTTGACGTCCGGAGGGAGTTTGTTCCAATATGGAATAACTCGCTCCGGGAGAAAAGACTTCTGGATATTCTTGACCTTTGTCACACTTTTACTACATCTATTGGATGAAACCAGACTAGAAATCATCAATCTTGTTACTGTTAGAAACAAGGTAGCAATTACAGGAAAACAAATTTTTAGAAAAACAAATTTCAATTTTGGTATTTATTAATAACAGTCAAAACATATCATATCATAAAAATAAAGCCGCGCGTTGGTTGACTGCCTCAGTAAGGTGAATAATTTAAGCTTGAATTACAAGTTGGTTGTAATACGATTAGGCGTTTTCGACGACCGGTTGACTGTTATTTATGTCATTCCAACAAATTACCTACGTGAGAACAAGAACAAGCAATATACAGGAACTAGCATTACATGAAGTATGAATATTTGAACCACTCAATAGAGCATTATAGTTGAATACAGATTCACGACAATAAACACATGAAACAATTTTAAATTAAAATTATTCAAACAATATACACATAATATAGCAATGACCCTATATAAAATCAACCTTTTAAGAATTCAAAAAATTCCCTTAACAATCAAAAATTACCCTTGGCCTTGTGGCTCCAAGTTAAGATCTAGACTGTTTATATCGACAATGTTTTTTCTTGCACCTCTGTCTCCACGGAGAGAAATCACTGTTGTTCTAAGGATTTCAAAGCGAAGGCGCTTTCTTATGTATCCTACAGCGTCTGAGTACCTCTGGCCAGTGTGGTAACTGGTACTCCATCTTACTGGCCAGCTTCTTGACCAGTCTCTCAGCTTCCCCACCCATTCCACCAGAAGTCGAGAACACTAAAGCTAAGGTGTGAAGCTTCCTTTCTCCACTTCAAGAACCCTTGCATTGTAACATCGCTTTTTCTCACATGAAACAATACCAAAACTTTTAGCTTCAAATATTCAAAATAGGTGAAAGTGAAGTTTAAGTTTCTCAATTTTAATTGACTTAAATCAGAAGTGGTTTCATGGATCTTAAGCATGATACTAAGAAGCGGACTGATCAGAGCTTGCAGTAATAAAAGATGTAATGTCCGCCAACACGAAAAAACGGGCACAATTCTTGTTTACATTAATCATGTTTCAACAATGCTGATAAGGCTAGTGTGGAGCACATTTGAGAAGACTTCCTTTGACGTGCGCATTTTCAATCCCAAATCGCCAACAGATCAAGGAAAGACCATGCCACAGCTCTACACTCTGCGTGAGAATGAGAAAAAGAAGAAATAAATACCGTCGACGAGTCCAACTCAGCGCGCGTCGTTGTATACTATAAAACTAGAAACAACAAAGGCATTAAGTTTTAATATAAAGTTATGTAATTAGACTAGCTTTGAATTTGTATTTTGATTGTTGATTTTGAATCACCCAATGACTTATGGCGAAAATGGAAAACATTTCATTGAGAAGTTAACATTTAAAGGAACAAAAAATTAACATTTTGTTGTGCATGTGTTTACTCAAAACTTTTTGTTTGACAATTGTGCAAATCAGCATTAATTTTGATCATTCCATGATTTTAAGAAAAATATTCGATGATAAAACAAATACATTTAATTTAATTTAAAACTTGTTTTCCTATTGTATTAAAAACTTACTTTTTGTTTAATTAAATTTTACCAGGCATGTCTATGTGCGGCGCTCTTTTTGGGATCTCGATCTCGCATATAATCCACGATTCTGCATATAATACATAAATTCACATAGCCATGTGTATACGCTTGCTCTAATCAGAGCCCTCTCACTTGCAGTAGCGCGTCACGCAGTACGCGTAGGCACATGGCTATGTGAATGTATACGCATACTACGTGACGAGCTTGTTTCTTTGCCGCCTTCGGCGGTCGCGCGCTACTGCAAGCGACAGGGCTCTGGTTAGAGCAAATACATGAAAGGAGCAAGCAATAACGATTAAACTAGCAAACTAATTGTAACACCTTGCAGACCTGCCGCGCACGAGTGCGCGGCCGCTGTATCATGGCTTTCGCCACGATACTACTTAGTGAAATTAAACGACAATGGGGTCACAACGTGGTACAACAAACTAAGCTTAAGTAGATAAATTACATATTATATAAATTCATTGATTGTGACTGTTAAAATATAACAACTGGTTTGAAATTTAAACTTCCTATTATACCTGACGCGTGGTTTTTCATTCCCTTCGGCGGGGCCCTTCGTTACGCCACTGCACACACACTTTTTGGGATTATTTATATAAATAATATAATACTGTAACATGTGATGCAATGTGATGTCTTGAATTTAACTTCACCTTATTTAATTATTTGTCTTTCTTCCAATTGTTTCGAATTGGCATAGTTGATAGTTTACTTTGATTTAATATTCGTGGTGATAAGAATTCAGAGACCAGGACACTTGGGCACTGTCTAATCAGTAATCATTTGATCAAAGTCATCATGAAATGCAGTGTTACTTGCTGTGAGGTGTATCAGCTACATGGGTTGGGGTCCCCCCCTTTTTTTTTTTTTTTTTTTTTTTAAATGCAGTGTTACGGTGTTCCGCTATTAATGGACCTTTTTTATTTTGTCGCACACGTTCTTTTAAAATCTGTAAGAATTTATTGTTTCAGTATATTTCTTGATGATGTGTATAATCTCTATCAGGGGGTACAGAGGTACCAGAACCCTTCCACCCATGGCAATAGGTGATTTGGACCTTAACCTGATCAACACTCTTAAACCCTAAAAGGTCAAAGTTTAAACTTTAAAAAAAAAAAACCAAATATACACAATAAGGTTTGGTACTTTATCCGTACCTCCCCTTTCATAGAAATAATAGCAAAAATATACACCTATCTTTAAGAACTCAACATCTGATATAAAACATTCGCTCAACCAAAATTAAAACAATTTTCCTGTTAATAATTTAACGGGGGTTTAAATGGGGGTTTAAACTGCTTTTTGTTGTGATGTGATTTAGTGGATTTTATATATATTATTACAAAGGGTTTTATTTTAACCTCAGTTTTTAAATTTGTACCATTTTTACAGAATTTTTTATATAGGGTCATTGCTATATTATGTGTATATTGTTTGAATATTATTATTATTTCTTGATGATCTGTTAGAATTTCTTGTTTTAGTATATTCATATAATACTGTCCAAGAACACTGAACAGTTGATGAGTATGAAATCCTTTACTTAATGATATGTCTATTTTCAATATACACTTTCAAGCTAGGTTACAAAGCACTCATGGGTAGTCTAGCACGTAAACAATGTGAAAATTCATGGTTATGTCAATGCCTTAATTGGTTTTGTAATTGCCGAGACATACCTAGCTAGCGAAAACAACCTGTAGCTGTAGGTTCATGCTCAGTCTTCAGAAAAACTATTTCTATGAAAATGAAATGAGATGAATAAGATAAATATTGGATTTGCTGGGTGTGGCTTTCTTGGTTTGTATCACACAGGAGTGGTTGCAGCCTTGTCTTCCCATGGAAAAGGATTTGTATCGAAAATTGACAGGTAAGATCAGGGAAATGAATATATATTATATATTACATATTTTACTTACATTGTTTATCATGGAAATGGATAGGTATAAGAAAATTTACTAACATTATTATACATTATACAATAATAACTTAATCACATTTTCTGCCATGACCCACTGTACTGGTAATATTCAGCTACTGCCTGCTGTATATTGAAATTATGCATTTTCAGGGTTTCTGGTGCATCTTCTGGCTCCCTTCATGCTGCAATGCTTGTTTGTGACACCCCTCTAGACAAATGTATTTCTATAGGACTACAGTAAGTATTGAAAGTTCTGCTCAAATCCTTGGGATAAGGCAGACTCAACTGATTCAAGAATAAAATTTCAAAATGCACAGGAGGTAGCCAAATTTGCTAATTTTCTTATATTTAATAAATAATAATAATAAATTAATGTTATTTTTATACAGCACCAAAAGGTTAAATAATTTAAATTTAACCCTTATGCTCAGCTGTAAATGATACTTCAGTTAAACGAGAGTGTGCATCTTTGCCTTACAATATTTTGAGTTTTAAAACAAAATATTTGAATTACGTAGACCATTTTCATTTTTCCAACAATTTCTTTTTAAAATATTTTTATTTTAGAGCTGCAAGTAAGCTGAGGACAAACATACATAAAATACCCTGGCAAGATTTGGACAATGAGCTGAGAACTGGACTAGACCAAATCTTGTGTGAAGATGCTCATCAGTTAGCTTCTGCAAAGCTTTACATCTCTGTTACTTCCTGGACAGCATCTTATACTATAGAAAATAGGGTAAGTGGAGTCCTTTAGTCCTTTAGTCTCTCTCATACAAGTAAAATACAAGAATAATACAACATTTTAAACATTGTGCAATTAACTGTGCATGTACCTTTGAGTTAAATAATGAATACATCTGATTTTATGATTTTATTACTGTTGATGTAACATAAACCCCATTGCAATTTCAGCTAGTGTCACACTTCGAGAGTAAAAGCGAGTTGATTGATGCCCTTGCTCATAGTTGCTTTATTCCACTCTACTCAGGTTTCTCCTTTCCAAAGCAAGGAAATGAATGGATCTTTGATGGCGCTTATACCGACAATCTACCACTTTTTGAAGTGAGTTATACCATCAAAAGTCTACCAAAGTGTACACCATGGTGAATGGTCATGAATAATCTTGCTGTCAAACGAAAGAATGTAAAACTTTCTAGATTATATATTAATTTTATGTAAATTTACACATTGATAGCATCCAATAGAAATGCACATAATCATTGCATGAATTTGAGTACTTGACTATGACCATTGTACAGGAATTCGAGAATGTGACGGTATCCCCATTTGCTAGCTCTGGTGCTGGAATATCTCCCAGGGAAAATAAAGATAATCAGTTTGAAATCGTCTATATGAACACACCTTATGCAATGACATACAGCAATATCAAACGTCTTTGGAGGTACATGATATTAATCAGTGCATGATTGCCACAAAGCAAACGCTTACTTCTATGTAAAATAAACAAAATTTTTCATAATTTAACTATGTTATATTCAATTCTTCAGAAAGACTCGGATAAAACAAAAGCAACTTCATTGATGGTAGGTGCATAATAATGATTATATATTTCAGAGTTGTAGTGCCTCCTTCTAACGAAGGACTGAAACAACTCTACATGACTGGATATAAAGATGGTAAGCTCTTCCTCAAAAAACGAGGTGTCTTCGAAGCTGCACCTGTACCAGATCTTCTTCATCTCTTTGACCAAGAAGACTCAAATGGTTGAGAATTACTCACTGTCACATGTGTTGTAATACGAGTAGTAATCGTGGCCTGGTATTGTGAAAATGCTCTACAAGTGAAGAATTAAAGCTGGTGAATTTCTTTGTGTTGGGACTTTGATATCATCTATCTACATGGTGATATCCTGTGGTAATATCATGTTCTCTACGTACACTGTTGGACTCGCGTGACCAGACCATTTTATGAAATCTAACCAGTACAGTCAATCATTATGAACTTGAGATCTTCAAAAATTGGCCCCAAATGGACAGAACTTTAATTTACTTTAATTATTTGATTTGGATTTTTACGTTTTGTGATTGTTATGTTTTGTAATTAATAGTGATATTTAGTTAAAACCTGTTTGTATCTATTTTGCCCCTGGCCAAGTAATAAGTAATAAGTAATAAGTAATAAGTAATAAGTAATAAGTAATAAGTAATAAGTAATAAGTAATAAGTAATAAGTAATAAGTAATAAGTAATAAGTAATAAGTTATAAGTAATAAGTAATAAGTAATAAGTAATAAGTAATAAATAATAAGTAATAAGTAATAAGTAATAAGTAATAAGTAATAGGTAATAAGTAATAAGTAATAAGTAATAAGTTATAAGTAATAAGTAATAAGTAATGAGTTATGAGTTATGAGTTATGAGTAATGAGTAATTAGTTATAAGTTATAAGTTATAAGTTATAATAAATTTGTTTGAAGAAACAAAATCATGATATATGTACATGTATGTACATGGTTAAGTTTGAGACTTAGTTATGGGGGTAAAACGTTATGAGATGAATTTCCGGAGGAGTGAAAATGTTTTTTCCTTTTAGTTTGTTTTATTTATTTTTATTTTTTCAGCTTGCGATGAGTTTAGATAAAGGAAGCCCCACAGTGGCAGTTAAAGTAGAGTATGAAGACAACACAGAGCAGGCAGATCAGCATTTCTCAAGCTATCCACAAAGCAGCACAAATTGTATAGCTAAAACAGAAGAAAAATATGCGGATGAATGCCTAATTTCATCCTCTGAACTAGCTAAGTTCTGCGATTCTTCAGTTAGCTTAACGAAAACTCACTCGAAAAGTTGTTATAAATCTTGTTATGAAGGGCCAAGTATTTTTGTCAAAACTGAACCAATTGAGTTTGATGAGAATGCCCTTGGAGCTTCTCTTGAAATGACACCTACTCCTATTAATGGTCATGGTCTCAATTTGGACAATAAAGATATCCTCAGAAGTGAATTGGAATACAAAACTGGTATTTTGAATATCGATGCGGTTATTATCATGGATAATCAACAAAATGCAGTGATTGAAGCTGACACTGAATCTCAAGCATGTACCACGGGTTCTGATGACACTAATGTTAATGTAAATCATGTGCCAATAATAGCTCCAAAATCAGCTTTATCGCTGAAATTCCACCACAAGAAGTTTCTTAAAAGAAGGCTTACTGACAAGAATTTTGATTGTATTGCTCAACTAACAAACCACCAATTGCTTCATACAGGGGAGAGTCATTATGTCTGTGAGTTTTGTGGTTTTAAAACTCAAAGCAGTTGTACCTTTAAAAAGCATAAGGTAACATTCCATTCTAAACATAAAGATCAGGCCTGCTCCTCAGATGATACGGTTTTTCAGGAAACTTTACAATGTCAAATATGTCCTTTCACAACACCCTCTTGGACAAACTTTACTGATCACCTTGTTCAGTCCCATCCCAAAAACAAACCGTTTCAATGTGGTCAATGTTTGAAATATTTTTGTTACCAGACGTCCCTGATACGTCATACATATGGTACTAAAGGCCGTTGTTTGCGGGTAAAACATGAAACCGGCAAAATAGTCGAGAAAGGAAATCAGACCAAATGTGTTCAACCAAAAACCAAAAGGGGCCCCTCGGTTTCAAAGATGATGGCAAAGAATTTAGTAGTATGTCAGGCTTGTAATGAACAATTCCCTACTTTGAAGGTCTTGAAGCGGCATTTGAAGTATTGTGTGTTCAATTCTTGATGGTTTTGACATTAGTTTATATAATTGTTAGTTATGGGGGTTGTATTATATGGGAGTTATATTACAGGGGGGGGGGGGGGGGCAATTAGTGCCAATACGTTGGGTCTTATACCACCTCCGTGTTTCATATTTGAGACCTGTAACTTTGCAGATGGTATACTGTCACTACTCATTCGAGGATTGTGTCACCAAAATTTTAAAATTCGATTTATGGGAGCCACACCCAATCAACATTGAATTGCTTTTACTCGTGTTTGTGGACATATTAAAGACTCCGTTGTAACATATTGCTACAGGTAATTGAATCCGGAATATAATCTGAAAAGATGGTGCGAAACGGATTTAAAATGACGAAGTTATCGAGCAATTTGTTTATTTCGTTAGCAAAATCGATCGGGTAATCAATGATTACCCGATCACTAATCATGTGATAGTTTGCTACGATACCGTAATTGGGCTCTCTGCACGATTCCTATAATGCAGATTTAGTTTCAACTCAATCACCTGATCACACGTGATGAACAAACTCGTTATGCTTCAAATCTTGGTCATCTGAGGAGCTAGAACTCTCATGGTTTCAGGGTGAATGTAAATTGAATAGCCAAACATAATTCAATACAATTTGGTTAGATCTGATCATTTAATCTATCAAATAAATGCAAAAATGAATCTACATTCGAAAAAAATGAACACGAATATTCTTTAATTTGATGTTTTCCTCGAATGAGTGGTGATAGTAAGTCATGCCAGAAAGTATTATCTCAATCGGCCTCGGGCACTGAGCTATAAAGGCCAACGTAAGGGTACTGACTTTTGCCCCCCTGTATATTATGGGAGTTATATTATATTATGGGAGTTATATTATATTATATTTTTAGTTTTAAACTTGGATCTTAAATATCAAATACTCGTGTTTCCAGTTTGTGAGTGAAATTTAACATTACCGGTATTTTGCCCTAGTCATATGGTATGCAATGAATAAATTAAAAACATCTTATCCTATAGCTTTATTAACAGGTTGTCTTTTAAGGTTAAATACAAATTTAATTCAAAAACTCTTAATCTTAGCAGTAACAATGTTGACACCGGGGCGCAGGTCGCGTCGCTCTATCCTAACACCATCACGCTCTTCCACTAGTAGTTCCCGCATTGCTAGCCCTGCTCCTTCTCTTCAGAAAGCCCAGGTTGGTGGAATTGTGGGATTCAACGAAATAAAGCCATTCCTATTTTATATTTAACCTTAATCTATCCTTCTTCTCCTCATAAAACACTATCTAGATATAATTTTAGTAACCAGTTCATCACCCCAGATAATCTCAGAGACCACACAATACAAGCTCACCACTGTTCCCAACTCGATACACTCCATAGCGCGTGATGTGGTGAAGCGGCGCAGAGTATCATGTGCAGGGTTCAGCGCGGGGCTGGGTTACGCGTGTGAGGGTAACCGAGTGGTGGTGTGGCCGGTGGGAGGTAACAAGATGTTCGAGTTGTTGGTTCCTAATCCTGTCTTCAGTGTTCACATTACTGAGGATAACGGAGCTGTCGTTACCACTGGTTTGTAACTTGCTATTTATCGGCTTGTGTGATTAAGAAATCTGAGGAAAATTGTTAGTCTGTAATGTACTTTGCGGCTTCGTTCGGAGTCACTAACCTCCACTCAAAGGGTGATATTTTTAGTCTCAACAGCTTAATTACCGGTATATTTTACAGTTAGCTGTTAAAAAATTGTACAACATGACATATTTGTCATTCTAACAGATAAAGGAGAAGTAGTGAGGTGGAGCAGAGTAGACCAAACACAGCGCTACACAGTACAACACAGCACCATAACAGATACTGTAGTGGACACCACGCTACATCATGACAACAACACTCTTCTGCTCCTTGATTCTGCTCACAATATTTGGGCCTCTGATAACACCGGACTTGCTCTGCTTAATCCTGGTTCTGCGCTCGGAGGTAGGTAGTTTTACAGTGGGCATTTTCTGGGCCGATGACAAAATCGGAAAAACACGCTTTTTTGGGGTATTTTACGTACGGCGCACCGACTTCTATGTGGTTAATTTTAAATCGCGCGGGTCTTCACGTACGTATATTTTGTAGGATGTGTAGCTCTGCATTTTGACCCGGGAATTTAAAATTGTGTACTGCAGAGGTTGTGTATGATCGCCTTCATTTATTTGGGCCTTTTGATATGAGCACTCAGATATTAAAGCATTTCGTTCTAGGTTTATCACGACGAGTGAGCAGCATGTTCTGGACCGCTCCCGAAACCCAGCTAGGAGATGCTATCAAGATAGTATCTTGTAATGATGTGATATTTGTGGTGGGGACCAAGGGACTTCAGAGGATTCATGGCACCGCAGTGAGTTTTATTTTTTAAATTATAGATAACGAATTTAGTCTATTTGAAGGTTTAGACTGTTCCTCGAACGCTTTTTTTAGAGCAAAAGTTACGATGTCATTTACACAAGCAGAAATTTAATATTGATCTTGCGTGGCTGGCAAAATTATGTAAGCATGAGATGGAATCGACAAAAACTACTGTCCTTTTGGCATCAATAAGGAAAAAACACGATAACTAAAAACAAATGTTTGCTCTTACATTACGTCTTGGAGGAGTCATTAACAAGACATCCATATGTCGTGTAACATAGTATTGGTTTCAAGATTTCTAGCCTACAAGTTTCATTGCCAATTTTTTACTTCGCCGAAATGGGTACCTACTGACTTCTTGACGTAAATTAGCTGGAATCAAAATTAAAGGAAACAATAATTTATGTGAGATAAAGTATTCTGAAGCGGGAATGAGGTTAAAATAAGGACCAAGAGAGGTAAATTAATTTATTATTTGAGACTGTACCTGCAAGAGGAAATTCTTAGCCTGAGAGGAGATATGCAAGATATGCTGAGAGGTTCAGAAAGCTCACTCATGGCTATAAAGAGATCTGGTGAGAGAAGTCCGAGAGTACAAGGATCAAGTCATCCGTCAGGATCATGTGATGGAGCATCTGAAATCAGATCTGACGTCAGCGTTGGTCGAAGTAAGTAAAGTGAGAAGAATTGTAGAGGCATCTCAGTCTGAAATCAGACTGATATCCCTACATAAGGTCACCTGGCAAAATCACACTGAGATTAGTGGTGATGGCAGAATGACTTACCCTGCTGACTTTTTGGTGGATGGTGTCTACAGACTTGCCTGTGATGAAGGGAAACTTAATCCTATCCAGCATACTGACGGTCATCAAACTAAAAGTAACATGTTTGTGAGGATTAATTTGGGAGCAAAATTCAAGATCCATTCCGTCAAGATCTGGAACAGAATGTGTTGTTGCCAAGATCGAGCGGTTGGGATTCTGGTGTACGCTGACAATGATCTGATCGGTGCCATCACGAACGTACAACATACCTACAATTTACTGGCTTCTGACAATGTGCATGGAAGAACAATTGTTCTGAAGAAGCCATATAGGAAGATAATCAACTTTTTGGAGGTTCAAGTATTTGGGAGTGGACCGCACTATGAAGAAAATTAAAGACAATGACACGAGCAAACACGCAGTTTATTGCCAGACAATGTATTCGTGTTTTATTAAAAGTCGATGATTTGGATTTTTTGGTTATTGAATTTGTCAAAGATGATAGATTGGATTTTGGGAACATGTGAATCATTATAGATAATTTTATGATTAACATAACATTTAAAATTATTTCATCAACGATTTCCATAGGTTTTTTCTTGGTCGTACCCGTATTCAAAATGAAATACAAATAAACGATTATTCTGTGAACTACGAAAACTAAGTTCAATGTATTGTGTTATATTTTCGACACATTTGTAAAGCGTTAAAAAAACAAATAATGACCCTAGCTAACATAAAAGCCTAAAAACACGGTATTTTGAAAAAAATATTCTAAATTGACTCCTCAACAGAGTCACATCAAAATTTTCCATAGAAATGTCCGTCCTAGAGTTTATCCAACTAAGAAGTGCGATGTTTTTTATGCTTCTTCTTTTTGGTTTGCGTACTGTAATTCCTGAAGTGAGTAAAATATCAAATTACAGACTATTCATTTTGGTGTGATCGTTATTTTTGTTGTTATTGTAACATTTGAGTTTGTCAAGTGTCTTTAAAAGAGTAGGAATAATAAAGATGAGAATTAGTAGCTATTAATAGATATTACACTGTTACTGCATGGTACTCATACGATTTGAGATTTCAATAAAATCAAGGAATAGTAAGGGGAAAAGTGGTCGATTTAAGGGTTCCGTTGGATTTGAATGTTCACAAGGATTTCTCAACGGAATATGGTAGTTAGGACCCCTACGAACATAATTAGACTTGTCACCAATTTTGTATCTCACGGAAACACCTCTTTTTACCACTTTTTACCACCTTCTTACCACCTTTCTGGTTTGCCAAATATCTTTAGTTGTGAACGTCGTAGAAGGTTTCAAATTAATCGAGGATGTTCATCTCATCAAAGAGAAAACTTTTTACGTTGGATAATCAGCTAATTGGATAATTACCAATTAGCTAATTACCAAAAAAAGTGAAAATTTTTTATTGGCTCAAAATGATTGAAATCGTTTGAAACACGGAGAAATGTAGTTTTTAGAAAAACTTCAAAAATTGTTCACTTAAAAAATTTTTTCGAGAAGAAAGTTTGAAAATTTGAAAATATATTATTCCGCCAAAAATGATCGAATTGCATGAAACGTGGATAAAAATGCTTTGCAGAAAAAATTCGAAGATTTTTAGATTGGGGAATACTAAAATCATCAATATTTGAAGTTGGAGTTCAGTAAATCTCGACATATTTTATTAATTAGGAATAGCTTAGCGGAAAGGGCTGAACCTGAAAAAGGTTAACCACACAATATTAGAGTTTCATAACTAATTACAATACAGCTTTATTAAATTCCACATAAAGAAACAGCACAAAAGGACCATTTAAGATCGAACCGATTTTACCTGCTGTACTATCATTTTATTGATTTCAATGATCAAAACCTCTGTACCGTCAATCTTGCCAATCTATACCGGGTATCTGAATGTACCGGACCTCTTATTTACCTCTATAATTAGACCCAGTTGTGCAAGAAATGCGATATCTCACAGGAGTTTCTTTTAGTTTTAACTGTGCACTTTTTGTCACTCTCGCAAGAGGCCCGGTATTATAGGGGGTCTTAGGAAGCGAGTGTAAATATACCTTCCATCATCCACTGTGGCTTTATTGTATTGTGAATGCGCATGCCGCTTCGTTTGTTATGCCAGATACCTCAAATAACCCCCATATCTCATTGCCAGGGTCGGGTTAGAGCTGGAGATAGCATCGAGAGGTTGCTAGAAATAGCTAGATTTAGAGTAAACTGGTGGTAGCTGGGTGGTGCTAGCATGGATGTAGCAGAACGTAGCTACACGGGGTTTCATTGGAGTTGGCTATTTTAATGGCCAAAGAGTGCCGGAACTAAAGTTACTTAAGATTGCAGTTCTAGTTGAGGGGCAGTGTAAACCACGGTGTAGTCAAGGACACAGAGCTACAGTGCAGGAGTACTACAAAAGAACAGTGCAAGTGATATAGTCTGCAACAGTAAAACGCCGAAGGAGATAAGATTGTGGCTGCAGAGGAGGAGAGGAGCAGGAACCTGATTGTGTTTGAAAGAAGAGGAGGAAGGAGGGTTTCCTGCTCAGGTATTTTTGGAAGAGGTGGGGTGAGAACTTATACCCAAGCGACAAGGGTGGGCTGGAAGCAACCAGGTACAGTTATCCGACCTATTAAGATCACCGTCCTGAGCTTAACAGCCTTTCATCAGAATCTGATGAAAACAGAGAGACTGACCCACCCTTTTTAGATACAACGAAACCCTTTATATAAATCGACTTTTCCGCATGAATTACTTCATGGTATCTTCTTATCAAGGCTACAGACCTTGCCGTACCGGATTTATTGATCGAAGTGAGTCTCTTTAGCCCTCTTCTTCTTTAGAGCTTTAGGTTAGTGATCAAACTCTTCGCTACTCGCTCTTCACTGGATCTATCAGGACAGATTCACATCTTTTTATGTCTCAACCAGCCTTAGTTTTCCTGTTTTCATCATGTAGTACGTTCTGCTACCTCCATTTTAGCACCACCCAGCTTCCATCAGTTCACTCTAAGTCTAGCTTTGTCGGCGTTTTACTGTTGCAGACTGTATCACTTGCACTGTTCTTTTGCAGTACTCCTGCACTGTAGCTCTGTGTCCCTGACTCCACCGTGGTTTACACTGCCCCTCAACTGCAATCTTAAGTAACTTTAGTTCCGGCACTCTTTGGCCATTAAAATAGCCAACTCCAATGAAACCCCGTGTAGCTACGTTCTGCTACATCCATGCTAGCACCACCCAGCTACCACCAGTTTACTCTAAATCTAGCTATTTCTAGCAACCTCTCGATGCTATCTCCAGCTCTATCCCGACCCTGGCAATGAGATATGGGGGTTATTTGAGGTATCTGGCATAACAAACGAAGCGGCATGCGCATTCACAATACAATAAAGCCACAGTGGATGATGGAAGGTATATTTACACTCGCTTCCTAAGACCCCCTATAATACCGGGCCTCTTGCGAGAGTGACAAAAAGTGCACAGTTAAAACTAAAAGAAACTCCTGTGAGATATCGCATTTCTTGCACAACTGGGTCTAATTATAGAGGTAAACAGGAGGTCCCCGTCCAGTACATTCAGATACCCGGTATAGATTGGCAAGATTGACGGTACAGAGAAGTTATGATCATTGAAATCAATAAAATGATAGTGCAGCCAGCAGCAGGTAAAATCGGTTCGATCTTAAATGGTCCTTTTGTGCTGTTTCTTTCTGTGGAATTTGATAAAGCTGTATTGTAATTAGGTATGAAACTCTAATATTGTGTGGTTAACCTTTTTCAGGTTCAGCCCTTTCCGCTAAGCTATTCCTAATTAATAAAATATGTCGAGATTTACTGAACTCCAAATATTGATGATTTTAGTATTCCCCAATCTAAAAATCTTCGAAGTTTTTCTGCAAAGCACTTTTATCCACGTTTCATGCAATTCGATCACTTTTGGCGGAATAATATATTTTCAAATTTTCAAACTTTTTTCTCGAAAAAAATTTTTAAGTGAACAATTTTTGAAGTTTTTCTAAAAACTACATTTCTCCGTGTTTCAAACGATTTGAATCATTTTGAGCCAATAAAAAATTTTCACTTTTTTTGGCAATTAGCTGATTATCCGACGTAAAAAGTTTTCTAACAAAAGTTTTTCTCTTTGATGAGATGAACATCCTCGATTAATTTGCAACCTTCTACGACGTTCACAACTAAAGATATTTGGCAAACCAGAAAGGTGGTAAGAAGGTGGTAAAAAGTGGTAAAAAGAGGTGTTTCCGTGAGATACAAAATTGGTGACAAGTCTAATTATGTTCGTAGGGGTCCTAACTACCATATTCCGTTGAGAAATCCTTGTGAACATTCAAATCCAACGGAATGCCACTTTTCCCCTTACTAGAAACTGGATTAACAAAATACTTATCGACAACACTATCACAAAGCTAACATGTTAGAGCTTCTACTAAAAAATTCAATCTTTATTGATTAAGTTAACTTCACTTACCCACACTACGTAGCATTAACTGTTGTTCTCAGATTAACAGAGAGTTCTGGTTAATTATAAATATAATTATGGTCAAATAGAGTTATGCAGAAAACTGCGACGTTGCACGGAGTATTCTCTATTTGTTTCATAGAAATTTATGATATGAAATATTTTGAACCAACATCGAGAATAATAGCAGGCACTCTTTGTTATCTTTTGAATTGTTTATAATTAGTATGATTGTCAGTCATTACATAATATCTATCAACTTCTCGATTAATTCATGAATGAATTAATCTAAGAAATACTGCACTGGTCACGTTTTGGTCACGTTTTGGTCACGTTTTTAAAATTTAAAAACAGCTGGCCTCGTTAACAATTGCCCATTATTATTAACGAGACCAGATTGCTGTTTTGTTAATAACTGAGTGAAAATAACTATGAAATAATTTAAGTATCTTACCACTATATCTGCATTTCTGACTTTGTGTCCATGTCCCGTTATTTTGGTTACAGGCCTCTGAAACGATGAATCTATTGAAATAATATAGCAAAGAAATTGAACTAATCATAACATTAAGTTGTAATTGAGACGTAGATTGTTGGTACCGTTCTATTAATTTCACTCTGCAATTTCAGTCCAGCCATAAGTCAAGTTCAGCCATAAGTCACATATATATATGTATTATGGTGAATATATAAGTCATATATATGTATGTGGGATTCCAATTTGACTGAGAAAAGGAAATAAAATCAGAACTCTCCAGAAGAAAACTCACCTATGAGTTGTCTCACGCAGGTCACATTCACAGAGATCATGGTAGCCTGTCTATCAGTACCACGCTGCACTGTCCAACCCCCCGCCTTAGCGTAGCAGCCCTGCAGACTGGCGTCATAGTAGTCAGGATTCGGTCCGACGAACGTAACAGCAATACATTCAGGGAGCTGCAAGCAGTGGTCCACACACAGTTCTTCTGTTACCAGGGTTACTTTACTCAACCCTCCTGCTCCTCCTAGAAAGTCTGCGCCAGACGATCTGCACGTGGTGTAGTCTGCGATATTGTGTTCGGGTTAACTACTTGTTATGAAGGTTTTCTAATCTAACAAACAGGGTACAGACGTGTGAGGGAAAATCAGAAGGGGTAAAAGTTATGAAACTTTACTGATATTTCTTGGCTAGTAGGTACTAGGTTACATAGATGCTAATAACCTTCTATTCTGAAGTTCTCACAAGGTCATTTTGAAATGTTATGTTAAAATAAATATAAGGAAACTACATTCACCGTTGTTATATGCTGCAGTTTCAACCGCTGAACACATAAGAAAGCAAATCTGAACTAGAAGTGTCCACATCTGTGATTTTTGTCCCATCAACGATACTGTCATGCGACTGAAGCAGGTGAAGGTACCGAGTAAAATTAGCCAAATCTTCTGCAAGAGAAATAAGATTCGTTACCCTAAGCTGGACTGTTAAGAGCTACAAGGTTGGCTCATGACACGTGACCCTTTAGTGACCAATCGTAGCACAGGTGCTCCTAGGCAGCCAATGCTGTGACAAGACCTTGTTCAACACCTTCCTTTTCCAGCTCTTTAGGAGGTTGTTAAAGTTTTACGGCTTTAATTACCTTAGCGTTAGCTAATGACTAAGTGTGCTGCATTTGCATAAATATTACATATGCAAAGTGGAGATTGCATCCGACGCTCAGTGCAACGCTCAGTGCAACACTATCTGATCTGAGTGGAGGATGAGCCCGATCCATAATAACCTTATCTAAGATTGAGGGGACCTGGTTAACATATACTAATACTACAATTATAAAACAGTCTGCTCTACGCCATAATTCATAAATTCTGTCCCAGTCGTCTCATCCTCGATAAAATGACATGTGTGACAAGTGCAAAGTGCTACCCTAGCAAACCGCTCAGATGTCCAGGTGATTAGTTAGTGGTTGGCTAGTTCCTGCAGCCAAGGTAGTATGCAATCTGGTACGGAATTACACTTGGCTCTTCCTTACAAAGGGCCATCCAGGCCTCTATACTCTATACCAAGGGTCCTAAGTTCTATCACTAAGACTTACTGTGGCTCATCTGAATATTACTAATGAGACTAACCAATTACTACTACCATGTCGGAACTAAGTCCGATCTATGCCAGATATCCCCCTCCATATTACCATATATCCCTGTCCCGCATCAGGGTTCGCAGTTCCTCTTTAGAGTTTGTCCCAACTTCCTTCAGTAACATAGACAAGCAGCTTTGTCTTGGTCGGCCTTGCTGTGCTCTACCATGCACAGGTTCCCATAACTTCCCATAAGACTAAATCATTGGCAAGTAACTCAGGATGTCTGATGCAGCGTCCCGCCATTTTTAATCTCCTGCTTCGTAACTTGCTTGAAGCCTTGATACTTGATAGGCTACCATACAAAGTTACATTGCTGACATTGTCATTCCATGAGATACCCAGCACCATACGCAGCATCTTTGTGTATGTCCCGTCCAAACTTTTCTCTTGAGCCTTTGTCACTGTCCAGGTTTCTGATCCGTAGAGCAGTACTGACTCACAAGCCGCTATGAACAATCTAATCTTAAGGTTCTTTGAGAGTTTGGATTTCCAATATCCTTCAGTCTATGTAGGGCACACATGCTTTTCCCTTTCTAACCCTTATCTCCCTATCTGTGCTCTCAATCCAGGAGCCTAAGTAGATGAAATCATCCACATTTTCTATGGCTTTCCCAGATCGACTTTGGAGGTCGCTAGATCGACCCTCCATATTCAATGTCATAACCTTGGTCTTGCCTTCGTTTATGTGTAGCACCACGCTCGCTGCCGCCGATTCTACTCGGAGCAGGAACTCGTTAGCCTTGTCCATGTCCTCAGATATAAGTGCTATAAGTGCTATATTCCAATAACCTGGATATATTCCTGATGGGGGGGTACCAATGGCATAAATGGCATAATGGAGAATTGGCCAAACAAAATTTCCATTTATGCCATGAAATTTCTATGCCATTTGATGAATTTTATGCCATTTGTCTCCATTCTATGCCATTAGAAATATGAAATTTTAAAACTTTGAACTGAGAATTTAATTTAACGAATTGTCTGCCCCCACTAGTACTGTCCACCTTTATCTCTATTTATTGTACTACAACATCTATTTTCACCCATTAAATGGATGGACAAGTGACCGGGCAGTATGGCATAGTACACGCTACACACCGTATAACAGAGAGGACAGTCGACTGAATGCTCCCAGTCAATCGGATATCCAAATTGACAGTGGAAAACTGTAACATTACCCACTCGATTAAAATATTATTTGTTAATGATGTGTACAGATGTATCGTGTCGGGACCGTGTTCATGTAGAATGTTTTGAAATTTAAACATTTTCACAAGATTGATTATGATCTGGGTTTCGAATGGGTAGCCTCTTAAAAATAATATTCATTGATATCTCGATGAACCTGTATATTAGTATTACATAACAGTTCACCAAATGACCTGAAATACTTGCTTCCTATTATACAAAATTATGATGACATAATGAATTGCTTAAATATCTTCATATTCACTGCTGCATGGCAACATAGCACTCCTTAATTAGTTTTCTATTATAACGTTAATCTAGTATAATCATTGTAGGATTTTGAACATCTCATAATTTGGGCTGTAGGACTGTAGAGCGGGGGACTGTATGGCGTACTTGGTCAAAAGTAGGACCCTAGAGCGGAGTCAAATCGCCAGGGTAGGAATCTAGAGCGGAACCCCCTCACCTGAACCATACTATAAGGACCCTAGAGTGGAGTCAAATCGCCAGGATAGGACTCTAGAGCGGAATTCCCTTACCGAAACCATACTATGAGGACTCTAGAGCGGTACCCACATGTAAATTTTGGAGCGGTTAGAAATTTGAGATCGGACTGTAGAGTGGATTTGGTCGGAAGATTGAAATCAGATTAGATACAAATCGTGATTGATTATTATAATAGTGAGATTAGAATAATTCATGGAGTTGTTGAAGCAGAAAATTTTCCTAGATTATTTATATTATACATCATATCATATTGTAATTTTTAGATGCGTTAGACAATTGTTCGGTATAAACTCTTTCATTTGACTGAAATATCCTGATGCTTCTCTAAAATGCAAAAAGATTCTTTGATAAAGAGGTATAATTATGAACTGGTCGATATGATTTCGCTAGGCGAAATACCGACCAAGTGCGTGCACTCAAGCAGATCATTTAGGAATGAGGATCTCATGGAGTGACACTTTAGCACCTACTAAGGGTATCTCATGTTCAGTCTAATGACAGGGTATGTTCCAGATCAGATCCCATCGCATAGCGGTTCGTGTTAGTGATTTCGATAGAGCAGTATAAATGTCACAGAGAATTTAGTTTAGTATATCACATTCGATTCCTACTCCTCTTTACAACTATCTACAATATGCTGAGTAACAGTTATTTAGGGACTACCGGTGGGTGATGAATAATTGAGAATCCAACAGGATCTTGTTCTCTTCATTGTGCTGATTCCGGGAAGCATTCGTTTTACGCTCTAATCCTATTAAAAATCGAGATATCGGTCATTGAAAAATGAATAATTATAGGCCTGTCAATGATTGCAGCCCAATTAAGAGCTGATCAGTTGCAGCTACTTGTGCCATATAAGGGATAACTGAAGTCACGTGACCGCCAATCCTATCACGTGACCTTGATTCGTAAATCCTTGGTCACGTGATCACATTCGTAACGTGTCGAATGCTGACTAGGATATCTCGTGACGTCACCAGAGCTCAAGCTTCCTGACCAGGCCTTATATGGAATAATATAGTGTATCACGTGTAATTGGATCCAATTAAGATGAGCTGCGCAATTATCGCAGCATCTCGATCTGGTATCACCTTTTGAAACCCAGCAGGCAGCTGGGCCAGAGATTTTAAAATAGAAGGATTTTTTGTTGATGAAAATCGAAGCGAAAATCATGTAACCCTATGTTTCCGAGGACGCCGAACACGATAAAACTGGTTATAATTATCATACTCAAGGGCAAATTGCTCACGAAGAATTATGTAATTACAGAAAGTGTCATTTCCTTGTAGCCCACTGCTCCAATGGAATTGTTTAACTTGAAGATTTATGAAGAATTATGTAATTACTGAGAGTAGCAGAAAACTTTTAAGTGTGGCTCGAAAGCACAATAAGACCAAACATAAGTTTTTAGTGATTTTACCTGGGGAAAAACGTAAATCTAGATTTGCAGAAATCGGGGGTTTAAACCAAAGATGATGCACAACTCTAAAACAACTCTGGCCAGAGATTTGGGTCTGGGTATTATATAGGCGAGGGCATTGCATGCAGGAGAGGGACAAATCTTAATATGCTAAACTAATGGTAAGCGCCCATTAAAATAGGATAAACTATGCTCATCCACATGGGACTCAGTGTCTTAAAGTTGACCGTTTAGAACTGATTTACTCTGCCAACATGAAGATTTTTCCGAAAGGGGTTAGTTTCGGGTCCGCGGCTGGCATGCAGGAGAGGGACAAATCTTAATATGCTAAACTAATGGTAAGCGCCCATTAAAATAGGATAAACTATGCTCATCCACATGGGACTCAGTTCTAAACGTTGACCGTTTAGAACTGATTTACTCTGCCAACATGAAGATTTTTCCGAAAGGGGTTAGTTTCGGGTCCGCGGCTGGCATGCAGGAGAGGGACAAATCTTAATATGCTATTCTAATGATAAGCGCCCATTAAAATAGGATAAACTATGTCCCTGAACTATGTCACTGAGTCCCGATATGCTCATCCACATGGGACTCATTGTCTAAACGGTCAACGATAGAACTGATATACTACTACTATATGGACACCACCACACTGGCACCTTTCTTCGCTATTCGACAAGTTGGATTTGAAGCCCAACACCAGTACGACAACTCCACTACGTGCCTCAGTTTCGAAGCACCGCCGTACGCTGTGTACCAGAAGGGACAGTGGTTCATCCTAAACACGCCCCGAGAGTGCCCGACTTTCAGACGAGCTATGACGTGCCACGAATTACAGTACAATTTCCACGAATGCCTCAGTTCGACTGGATCGGTGTCGCACATAATATGCAAACCTCGGAAGTGCACCAGAGAGTCCTACATCTCCACTCCCATGGGACTCTTACTGCGCACGAAAGAAAAGAACGTACAACTCGCCTCCCAGAAATCAGCAGCGACAGGTGAACACCATCCACACCGACAAACCACGTCCGAGGTCTCGGCAATCGACATGCCGACCTACCAAATAGTGTTCGTAGAATGGACTCACCGTTAGTTTCTCCATTATATAATTATAATATAGTTAAAGTGAAACTCCTAACTTTACAGTATAACCCCCTAGTTACAGTATAACCCCCTAGTTACAGTATAACCCCCTAGTTACAGTATAACCCCTAGTTACAGTAAAACCCCTAGTTACAGTATAACCCCTAGTTACAGTATAACCCCCTAGTTACAGTACAACCCCTAGTTATTATTAAAGACCTAATTCGATGTGTAGAAATATAATCTTAATCCAACATTCCTAACTGACCCTCAACATTCCACCTATCAGGTAGAGGACCTGCCTTGCAGACTAAACATCCCGGGCGTAGTCCCCAGTTACAGAGATGCAGTAGTGGGCCCCCACACATCCTGAGTTATTACTTGACTCTTTCTGAGAAGGCCGTCTTCATCCGGGGACCAACAGCTGAGATGGGTACGGGAGAACGGACTGAAGAAGGACTACGAATAAGGAATTAACGACCCCCTTACCAATTCCTGGACTTCAGGTCCTGTTCGAGTGTGGATACGTAGACTTATGCACTATGCAGCTTGCCTTTCTCCCAGTGGACGATGTTCTCCCTTCTTTCGTGGAGCTCCTAGATCTTAAATACCCTCCCACCTTGGCCTCGACGACTTCCTGAACTACTTCATGACGAATTGGGTACAGGGAGTTTCCACCGCTCGTAGCACCAAACCTGCCCGCTTTCCTCCGCAATCCTGGAACCTCGTCGACCGGACTACCTGCAACTTCAACTACGCAGAGGCCTTTAACAGAAAGTTTGCATCAATGTTGGGACACTCTTACTCAACTATCTGGACCTTTCTTCAAGCCGTCTACATAGAACAGTCCACTACATATAATGAGATGATGCTCAAGGAGACTTACGGGGATGCTCCTCCTGCAAAACGAGCCCGTCAGCGTACCAAGGACAGCCGACTGGCACATTTAGTAAAAGTCTACGACAATCATGACATTGTCTCACTCTCCCACCTTGACATGTTGAGGAACGTGATGGTCGAGGAACTGAGTGAACTATTTGAAGATATTTGATTCGCAGTATTAATGTATAATAAGTTGTATCAATTCTATCATCATTATGTGACGACTATTATTAATCATTGATTAAAAAACATAGCTCAATCTTCAAAACTAACTTTACTCTCAAATTTCTAACCGCTCTAAAGTTTGCATGTGGGTACCGCTCTAGTCATAGTATGGGTCCGTTAGTTCCACTCTAGAGTCCTACCCTGGCGATTTGACACCGCTCTAGGGTCCTACTTTTGAATTTGCTTTTCTTGAATAGTCAAATGTTTGATATAATACATTTCTATTTTCTTTATTTGTCATATGAATCTTTAAAGATCATTCCAAGCGTTATAAAGCATGAAACATGTCTCTTATTCAAGTACTAATAATATTTGCGAATTTAAAGTCATCCTAAAGGTCAAATATGAAGACCTAAATTCATGGCATAAATTGGCATAAATGGAGAATTGGCCAAACAAAATTTCCATTTATGCCATGAAATTTCTATGCCATTTGATGAATTTTATGCCATTTGTCTCCATTCTATGCCATTGGTACCCCCCTTCCTGATAACTCGTTAGAATTCCTGATAATTCAAATGCGTCAACCAAAGAAAGAAAATTATCCTAAAAGTTTGGATAAATCAAGAAGTTTCATGCTTAACTTAGATAAAAACTTGCTTTCACTCTAATACAAATACACAACTAATTAAGTAATCACTAACTAACCAATGTTTTTCAGGTAACGTGGACCACAGATCTAATGCCCATGGTATCAAACTCCTGCAGTTCCTTGCTCATCATTGATGCTGTGTCAGTACACTACTTATTTCCCTGGACAGTGGACATTAACACTGTAGAAACTTAAGATTTATGATAGAAAGCCAATAAAACCATATAAATATCGCATGCTCCGAATTAAACATAGTTTGTATATTTTATCATTATTATCATTTTTATTGGAAATAACTTCTCCTTTCAGGTCTGAGGAAGGAATGTTGAAGTGCCTGGTGGAGGTGGATGAGTTGTTGTTTGTTGTGACACTCAGCTCTCAGCATACCACTGTGCCTTGCAGTGTCGACTCTTCTATACAACTACAGGTGAGTAGCTTTACAGTTTTGTAGGCACTACAGTTACACTGATGACTGAAACATTAAAAGTTGGGAATTCATCTTATAACTTTTTCGTCGAACACAGAACATATGCATAGTATAGTTTATGATCACATCTGAATTTAATCAATGAAGAAGTCTATGTTTAAATATTAAGCATTGGGTTTAAATATCCGTTAAAAGCATAAATGTATTAAATTAGTGGTTTTGTATTTTCACTCCAAAATGTCATGTAATTCCCCTCTCCTCCTCTTATCTCCTCTTATCTCCTCCTCTTATTCCGCACTCTCCCAGACGGACGAGGTGAAAGGAGTGAAGCTACTCTTACAACCTGGCACTGACGTGGGACTCCTCTACTCAGAGTCCGAGTGTCACATTATCACTCTCACTTCAGGTACCTACTACTTTCCTTAGATTATCTTGTTTGTTAGTGAGGCCATCATTAACCTGGCTGTTATTATTAATGAAAATGTGAATATTTGTTTGTTCGGAGACCCACAAATGGGGCGGGTATATTTATAATTAACAATGTAATCCTGTGACCAGGTGTCACGGTACCAGTAGTACTAGAGGGTGACGAGGTGGTCAGTGCGCTGATAACTACCGGAGACATCAACCTCATCACCAAGTAAGTGTACTTACTACTGTGTCTAATGATGGGTAGTAACAGTTCTGTGATGTTGAATTTGCTAGCCCACATAGAATGCTAAGAATGTAGATAAAGCACACAATATTTAAATATTATTACAAGTTAGTTGTATCGTACTGTTTTGCTACATACATTGGTCAGCAATCAGTGATACTGTTATTAATTATGCATGTACTGCAGGCAGAATGGACTAGTAAAGCTAACGGTAAAGGACGTGAAAGCAGCAGTGAGCAACCTGAATATCTCTAGCAGCGAAGGGGACGAATACAGAACAGTCGAGAAGAAGTTTCTTGGAGCTTTCAAATGTTTTATAGAGTTCAACGAGACTCAGGATCAGGCCACATTGCAGGTTGGACTTATTTTATAACAGCGCGGCGGATACATTTTACATGTTTTGTGTTGGTACCATATTATATAGTTCTGCTATCGCATGTGTATTGATTTGTATTGAGAGGCAGCAATATGTAAACAGCAATAGGGCTTGTATCCCAAAATCAAAGATTTATTTGTGATTTAAAGATTATGGCCTGGTATTTTTCAACGAGGCAAAAACAATAATTAGTCTCTTTATTTGTTTATTATATATTTTGATAAGTAACTCCTCCTTTTCAGGATATCCTAGGAACACAAGATGTTGAGATGATCAGTAGAGTGCTGAGTGAAACAGGAGAGTATCTGATAACCTCAGCCCCAGCAGCTGACCCTCGCTGGGGTGGTACTGATGCCAACCTTCCTGTTACTCTAGGTACTTAATATTTATCACTTTTATAAATGGCTTTAGCTCGCTGGGGTGGTACTGATGCCAACCTTCCTGTTACTCTGGGTACTTAATATTTATCACTTTTATAAATGGCTTTAGCTCGCTGGGGTGGTACTGATTCCAACCTTCCTGTTACTCTGGGTACTTAATATTTATCACTTTTATAAATGGCTTTAGCTCGCTGGGGTGGTACTGATGCCAACCTTCCTGTTACTCTAGGTACTTAATATTTATCACTTTTATAAATGGCTTTAGCTCGCTGGGGTGGTACTGATGCCAACCTTCCTGTTACTCTGGGTACTTAATATTTATCACTTTTATAAATGGCTTTAGCTCGCTGGGGTGGTACTGATGCCAACCTTCCTGTTACTCTAGGTACTTAATATTTATCACTTTTATAAATGGCTTTAGCTCGCTGGGGTGGTACTGATGCCAACCTTCCTGTTACTCTAGGTACTTAATATTTATCACTTTTATAAATGGCTTTAGCTAGCTGGGGTGGTACTGATGCCAACCTTCATGTTACTCTAGGTACTTAATATTTATCACTTTTATAAATGGCTTTAGCTCGCTGGGGTGGCATGGTACTGATGCCAACCTTCCTGTTACTCTAGGTACTTAATATTTATCACTTTTATAAATGGCTTTAGCTCGCTGGGGTGGTACTGATGCCAACCTTCATGTTACTCTAGGTACTTAATATTTATCACTTTTATAAATGGCTTTAGCTAGCTGGGGTGGTACTGATTCCAACCTTCCTGTTATTCTGGGTACTTAATATTTATCACTTTTATAAATGGCATTAGCTCATGTTTAATGTATCAGTGAATGCTGTATGCGCCGGGGAAATTTCATCTTCAAAACCTGAAAATGGGACAGGAAATGGGAGAATATGATTTTTTTATTTTGTCGGGCATTTTGACTTCCAGTACGTCAATTTGATCTCATACCATCCTCAGATAACTGACTAATTGGTCACTGGACAAAAAGTCCATCAAATCTGTCAAATTTGTGTTCAGAAATTTTCATATTTGCTTGCTTACAAAGTCATAATAACAGAACTCCCCTTAATTTAGTACTCACCATTTTTCTTCTGAAGTATCGATGAATACTTTAAATTGTTCTTCTCCAGGACTCCAGATAGAAGAACGAATCAGGAGGCTACAAGGACTGTTGCAGTTTGTAGTTGTTACTGGTTACTATGACAGTTTAGTCTCTGAAGAGGACAACATTGCTCTCAGACTCCTTCAATATGTGGAGAAGTGTCTCGTTGCTAAGGTATAGTAACCATAGTAACACCCTAGTAACACCTTAGTAACCCTAGTAACACCCTAGTAACCATAGTAACACCCTAGTCCCTAGCTACACCCTAGTAACCATAGAAATACCCCTATTAACCACTAACCATGTTACCATAGTAATGCCATAGTTATATTAGTTATATTACTCCCTATCTCTCCCTCTATTTTGAGTAGTCACTCTAATAATTCTATTAACTCATGATCATGGCTAAGGTCTCTTCTAACACCAGGATACAACTACAAACTGTGTTTTTCAGAAAAAATTGTCTTTTCTCAACAACAACAAAAATTGTCTTTTCTCAGATGTTTTGCAGCAGTAACTGTGCTCTATTGCGTAGAGCTATTAGTGAGTCAGCTGCGCTCTTCAAGACTGATCAGACTCAGGTCTCTTCTGAAGACATTGTGTTCAGGTTAGTTCAAGGATGACAGCTATAACGACAGCTGGTGATTTTCCATACTTCATAGTTTTTTTCCGGGATTCTGACTTTCAGCACCTCAATCGTGTCTTATGCCATCCATTTCCAGGGAGATTTCGTCAACTTTAAAATATAGTACAGATCGACAAGAATACCCCTTCCCTAAAATGAATTATATAACTCTGCCTATCCCCTCAGTAACATCAAAAAGATCGAAGTAGTGTACGGGGCACTTGCGGAGGGCCAGAACACAGTACTGTCCAGTAAAGCCGAGAGCGAGGCTGTCGTACAAGATCTGTTTGTGAGCGTGGAGGTTATCCAGCAGACTTTTGATGCTCTTCTCTCCTGGAGGGAACAATCCCGTCAGCTTTACGAGCTAGGTTAGTTTTAGGTGGAGTTATTTAAGACTTGCAGTGATAAAGTGTGATCCTCTTTTTGGACGGGAACCAATTTTAAGGTGCTAATATCTACCGTCTGCCCCACAGCCGTGAAGCCAGGCACATTGACATGGTGTGACACAGACGAGATAAGGACAATGTTAACTGCTCAGGTGCACATCGCACTTGACACTGTCCTTAATGAAGTGGACGAGGATGGACGATATCAGGTGGGTAGCACAAATTACATGGTACATGGTACATGGTACATGGTACATGGTACATGGTACATGGTACATGGTACATGGTTTATAATAGAACCCTTCTTATTGTTTCGGAATAGCAGATTCAATATTACAGTAGATACCATGTTCTAACTATTTTAATGTTTGTATGACGTATGTTCACCATTACTCACTCTGTGTTCCATCATTTAGGTACTGCTGGTGTCGGCTAGTCTAGCTGAGTCAGTTCTAAAGCTGTATCAAGACCTGATAGGGAGACTTCCTCCCAGTGACAACAGAACTGCTAACTTACAGACCGAGTTCGAGAGGCGCCGTCACTCGTTGATACAGCCGTTTGTAGAACTCAAGATCTACCAGATAGCTTTCACCCTAGCTGAGCAGTTTCAACACTTTACTCTGTTAGTGCAGCTGTGTGAGGACACTAAGGACATGGTTAAGCTGAGATCACTCTCTGCTGAACATCCTGGATTTGCCGAGGTAGATACACTTTTTGACTGTTACATACAATTTTAAATGAGGAAAATTATTCTTCATCGTTTCTGAATCTTATTTCTTTGGTGTTTTAAATGTCGAGCTTTTTGAAATCCCCCGAACTCACGTTACCCACTTTTTATAGGTAGCGTACAATTGGTATCTAGCACAAGGCAAGCAGAGTCGTCTGCTGACCGCCAACGTGGCGGACCCTCAAAAGTTAACAAAATTCCTCACCTCACAACCACATCTGAAGTGGATACACCAGTTGGGGAGCAAGGACTATGCCACAGCTGGACAGACCCTGGCTAAACTCGGTAATTTAGCTTTTTCCAAATTCCAACCGCCTTGGATTAGAAACAGTGTTGTTAGTGAGCAAAAAGCGTTTAACTGTTGAACAAATCGTTTAGATTAAGATTTTCTTCCGAATTCAAAGTTCTATATGAACAACCAAAAGTTACATGTATTTAGAACGTAGACCTTCATCATCTCAATATTTGATATTTTGTTCACGGGCAGCCCCTAGAAACGTGTGCTTACTGTTTAAATACTTACGTGTATGCCTCAGCCATCAAACTAAACTGTCCTACCCCAGGTTTAGAAGAAACGGAGCTGTTATCTCGTAAAAAGACACTGCTCAGTATTAGCAAGCTCTCATTCCTGGCAGACGGCCAAGATGCCGAATCAGAGGACATCTTGACAATAAACCGACATTTAGAGACGGTCACGCACCAGGAGAGGATGAAGCCGGGAGTGATAGAGAACGCGGGACTGATGCCGGAAAACATGGCCCCTATCTCGTGTCCTGACCTAATCAGACTGTGTGTAGGGGACTACAACCCTAACCTGGAGGATATGGACGTTAAAAAGGCCCTGGATCTGCTGCAGGGCGCGGCAGAAGACGACACTGTCAGCAATGAAGTGTTTGAGAAACTCAGATTGGAGATCTGGTGTGCGGTGATCATGAAGGATGACTGGTGGACTAAGTGTCATCTGGTGGCTCCCGATCAGATCGAACAGACTTTGTTTTACCGGGCTGTAATTCTGGCGTACAACTCAGGAATGTTGGTGTCCCACTTCCTGCCCACAGTGGACCAGCTCCTGGGTCTGGAGACGTGGGGTGAGGTGTTTGTGGAGGAGGGTCGGAGGAAGCAGTTTGAGTATATCCTGAGGTCGGGCTACGAGCAGATGTCTACCCTGGGTCTTGTCAGTCACTAGGAGGAGTGGAGTATTTTTATGTAATTTATTGTTTATAAATCTTCATCAATGATAACGGAAGAATAATACTTCGTCACTTTTTCTGTGTTAACTGTTAAATATTGATAGTTCACGGCTGGTTTCCGACGCATGTTTGCCCTTTTATTTGGTTGAGTTGATAAACCTTAAAAACACTTCTTCTTGGGTTATCCAAACAATAATTTTATTGACAATAAATGAACTATGACTATTTGTATTTATATTTCGTTTAGTATCGATTTACCATCTATTCAATATACATTTTCTTTTATAATGTATCGCTCATCTTTTTTTGAACGGATAAAATTATCCGACGTAAAAAAATGATGACATACGTCACTATATACGTCGCCAAATAATTAACATTGAAGCTTGAAGCACCGTAGGAAATTGGAGTAGGTCAAACATTTAAGAACCAAGAGATGAGAGAAGTAGTAACTTTTTGTATCACGTCGTGAACCCCACTGTCGTTTCACTGTAGCGTTTCTACGATACGGGGAGCTGCGCACTCGTGCGCGGCGGGTCATAACTCATACAAGTACAACGTATGACAAGTAACTTGTAACTTGTAAGTCTTCAAATCCATTCAATATCCATTGATCATGTATATTGTAAGATGTGGTTGATTCAAGGTATAATGTTTTAAATTGAGATGATGTATTGATTTCTAATAAAATTAAAATATGAAATCAAATAATAATGATATACTACATAATAGCAACAAATTGCTCGATATCATTACCAAAGTATTTCGCAACAACGAACAGGTACTCAATGATCAATCTCACCACATTCCTTGATACTGATTACTGATAGCACGAACCTTAAACTGACCCAATCTTCGCTTTGAACTTTAAGAAACCGCCCAACATACAACCGTTGGTACAACCTGCAGAGACTAGAGAAGCATCTGTTTCGTCCAGCAGTCATGTCGTCATCTAATAGTAATAAATAGCTAAATATCGTCCTTCCGCAATACCTATATCTTTATTTTTGCTTACAACCAAATCTAACAAACCATTCTCGATTGATTGTGTGACAGTGGTGACTAAAACCTCCAAACGTCCACATCTCATAGTCATTTTGAGGCTAGCCAAGTCGATAAGAACTAACCTCGGTCATGACTTACCATTTGTTGTTTACGATGACGGCCCTGATGACTTATGGTTATCTGAAGAAACTAGACAATAAATTGCAGAGTATGACAAAAGTCCCCGTCCTTATAGTACGAAAATTAAGGTAAGAGACAGCTGACAGAGCGTGTTCTTAACACCATTAATATTATTTGACCTTGTTAGAATCTTGAAGCTTATTTATCCAGTCTCAGTTCCAAAGTTGAAAAGTGTATTTGAGCTAGAGTAAGGGCTCTGGGACTATACTTTGCATTTATCTGAGCGACTAAAGTCTAGGCAACTTGTCCAAGACGGTTTATAAATTCGATGGTTTTAGACAATTGCTTGTGTTCCAAATGGACTATTTATTGTGTTTCATAATCACGTTCTTTTTAACGGCAAGTTCCTGAATTGACAAAATCACTAGATCAGTAATTGACAGTCTCTCTAAGTCTAATTTTGGAGGGCTTCGACGCGCCGCGCAAACTAGCATTCTTGCTTCGCATCGAAACCCTGACAAGATCGTTGCTCTGCTTCGCAGAGCAACGATCTGGAAGGGTTGACATTGTCAATCAAAGTCTAATTGTTTTCCAAACCATAACCTCAAAGTTAAATGGGACTTAACTGTACTTACTAGCTTTTGAAAATGTCATTAAATCATGTTTTTAGCCATCCTCAGTTACTATAAGTATACCTTGCATTTGTAAGATGGTCATTCAAGAAAAATTCAGTCAAAATAGTGAAATGTGGGTCCAGGGTCGGCGGAAAGCTGAAATTCGAACATGTCCTACACACCGGTACTTACTGGGCGGCGCTCAGCCTGTCATTCCGCCGCGAATCTTTATTCATTATTTTTGTTTATGAAAATAATAGCCTGGGGTCCCCAGGTAAACCGGTACTGGACATATTCAACATTTTCATTGCATCAAAGTTTTCTCCAAATATATACTGCTTCCAGTACCTCGATGGTGACTTGTGCATTGTGTCACTGTCACCGACCACACTGATTGGTTAGTGGTACTAGTAAAAATTTCAGTCAAAACCGCGAAATTTCGGTCAAGCACTCAAAGTCAAGGGGACGGCCGAAAAGCTCTTCTTCCAAAATCTTCGAAAAATCTCTTTTTTGTTTTTATATTCTGATGATTTTTCGTTTATCAAGGCTTTATTTGGGAATAGAACTTTGAGTAACTCAATCGTGTCTTGTGCTATGCCCATCCTTAGTGACCTTGACTCTAAGATGGCAAGTACGTACGGTACGTACCTTTAAATTAGCTGTGCGGTACGTACTTAATAAAGTAGGCTGAAAGGTACAAATCCAGTTGATAGCAATGGAAACAATTAAAACTAGACGGTACGTGCGCAGATTAATCCAGAAGTAGAAGAATTGGAACCTTCGCGCGAAATTCTCAAAATTTTTTCTGCTTAAACAGTTGGCCTAAATAGTATTCATTCATGATTCAGTGTTTTAAGTTCTTCGTCAATTTGTGAGACCAATTTTAGAGATTACAAGTATATTATGGACTAGCGTAGATTAAGATTGCGACCTGCAAGCTAGCTGAAAAGCTGGTGTTCGTATACTGCAACAAAAGGATGAAGCTTTGAGTTTAACGATAATTACAAGAAGTAGTAGTGTAGTACCGGTTAAGAGCGATCCGGTACACAAATTTTCCTCTTAAATCTTTTATTTTTTTAACCACTGTGTTTATTTTCGACTAACGACTTCTATTTCAAAAATTATGATGATAATACTAATCAAAAATTGAAAGTAATTCACTGAAGTTGATTCTAAAAATTTGAAAAAAAAATTGTACTTTACAGTGCCTGTACGGTACGTACCTTTAAAAGTAGCTGTACCGTACGTACTTAAAGCCCTGTACCGTACGTACTTGCCATCTAAGGACCTTGTAAGATGGTCATTCAAGAAAAATTCCGTCAAAACATTGAAATTTGGGTCGCGGAAAGCTAAAATTCAAATATGTCCTACCGTGTACCGGCGGTAGGACATATTCAAAATTTTCATTGCATCAAAGATTTCTCCGGATATACTGCTTCCGGTACCTTGAACATGGTAGAGACATTCAGATAAGAAGCAACATATGCCAAAATGCCAATTAAATTGGCATTTTGGCATATGGCATATGTTGCTTCTTATCTGAATGTCTCTTCTTATCTGAATGTCTCTACCAAAATTGGCAATTTTGGAGTTATCGGCCAAAAGTTTATTTTGGCCACGCAATGGCCCAATTTAAACTGTTAATGCCTTTTTATAGAATTAGAAACACGTTAAAGACTTCTAGTTTTAAGCTAGATGCGCGTTAACTAACTTTAAAATGTGATCACTGGCCGGGATGGAACTGTTTGTGAGTGAAATTGACACGATTATATATTATAGTTATTTAATACTCATGCAATGGTGGCGCTCGGATCGGGGTACTCAACCTCATGACTTGATGGCTCCTACACTTCATGTGGCTCATACGCCTCTTTTTAAAACATTAGTTTAAGTTTCAAGTTTCAGATGTGAACACGTGTCATCAAAACACAAAGGCTATCGTACAGACAATCATCAAAGGCTACCGTTTTCAATTTTGCACCACTCCAATGTAGTTCAACAATTGTTTTGATAGTAATAAAGTGACACCAGACGTGGCCTGGTACAAGTTAAGTTTCAATATAGTTTTAATACACAAGTATTTTCAGTGCTATGGTGTATCATGGACATACTACTATATCATGGACATACTACTAGATTTTATTTTTATCAAATTCCGTAAAATTGACAGTGGCTTTATTTCATTCATTATCCTGGATAGTAGTGTCCTTCACCGTAGTCAGTAGTTTCACCGTAGTCAGTAGTGTCCTTCACCGTAGTCAGTACTGTCCTCCACCGTAGTCAGTAGTGGCATCCACCGTAGTCAGTAGTGTCCTTCACCGTAGTCAGTAGTGTCCTTCATCGTAGTCAGTAGTGTCCTTCACCGTAGTCAGTAGTGTCCTTCACCGTAGTCAGTAGTGTCCTTCACCGTAGTCAGTAGTGTCCTTCACCGTAGTCAGTAGTGTCCTCCACCGTAGTCAGTAGTGTCATCCACCGTAGTACCAGTAGTGTCATTCACCGTAGTCAGTAGTGTCATTAACCGTAGTCAGTAGTGTCCTTCACCGACCACCGTAGTCAGTAGTGTCATTCACTGTAGTACCAGTAGTGTCCTCCACCGTAGTCAGTAGTGTCCTCCACCGTAGTCAGTAGTGTTATTCACCGTAGTCAGTAGTGTCCTCCACCGTACTCAGTAGTGTCCTCCACCGTAGTCAGTAGTGTCCTTCACCGTAGTCAGTAGTGTCCTCCACCGTAGTCAGTAGTGTCCTTCACCGTAGTCAGTAGTGTCCTTCACCGTAGTCAGTAGTGTCCTCCACCGTAGTCAGTAGTGTCCTTCACCGTAGTCAGTAGTGTCCTTCACCGTAGTCAATAGTGTCCTCCACTGTCGTGTCCTATACCCGCCTAAACTATTATTATATCTAATTGATTATCTTAATTACTTCAGCGATTTATCTGTCCGTACACTACCCTTGACAATTCACAATATAACTTAAATCCAAACCATTCCTTCCATCAAAATGCTGTCATTGTCGTATTAATTACAGTAGTAGTACTTACTAGTAATACAATGCATATAATATTTACTATAAATATAAATATGATATTACATTTTATTGAGAACATTTTTTTATAACGAATCCTTTTCAGACTCGGATTCTTAGCCTTTTAACGATGAACCTCTTCAATCGAGGATCAATCCTTCGCTTCAGATTTCATCGTTTCCATCTGCTATTTCTATGTTTGGTCATTTCAATGACTGTTCTTTACGTTGACAACTTTGCATTAATTGGAGGTACAACTGACTTTGGACCGATGTCTACTCGGAATATCATGGTTGAACTTCCAAGTGCGCGTCTATTATCTCACAACTCCATTAGTTTGAACCGCAGATTATCAGCACAAAACTACCGCTTCTACAAACATAGACTTCGTCTGTGGTACGAAGGGAGGTGTGTCGACGCTACAGACAAGGGCGAGATAATTGTAACGTTCTGTGACCCAGACAGAGAACAGAGCTTCAGTCTGACATCAGATCACAGACTTGTTTATGAAAGGTTGGGCAGATGTGTTAATTCTGGTGCATCAGAAGAAGGGACAGTGCCTGTAGCACTCGTTGAGTGTAGTACAGTGGAATCCTACTTCACATTGGATGATATTGGTGGTTCCTTCTTAAAACATATTATCAACGACGAGGTCCTTTGTCTGACCCCTATCTCACTAAAAAACCATTCTCAACCCGTTCATAACCCCTGTTTAAATGATCCAGTTAGATTGACTAAATGTGATGAAATTGCCTCACGAATTGTGCTGATGGAGGAGAAGTTCTTTCAAGAAGACAGAAAATTGTTAAAAGGTGGTGTGATAGATCCGGGAAGTCTGTGTGACTTTAAGGCTTGCAGCTTTAACAGGAGAGAACCGGTTGAAACTCTACTCCCAGATCAAGTTAAGAGATGTACCAACTTATCAGATTGTGTGACAGTCGTGACCAAAACCTCCAAACGTCCACACCTCATTTTGAGGCTAGCCAAGTCGATAAGAACTAACCTCGGTCATGACTTACCATTTGTTGTTTATGATGACGGCCCTGATGACTTATCTGAAGAAACTAGACAAGGAATTGCAGAGTACCCATTGCTAGAGTACATTGTAAGCAACAATAAAGATTTAGGTATTGCGGAAGGACGAGATTTAGCTATTTTACAAGTGAGAACAAAATATCTATTTTTGATAGATGATGACATGCTTTTAACTCCTCGAACAAATCTCCAAAAGTTGGTAGATGTGCTGGACGAAACAGACACTTCTGTAGTCTCTGCAAGCTGTACCAACGGTTGTGGGTTTGACGGTTTCTTACAATTCGGTTATTTCCATAAGAAGCAAAGTTCAAAGCGAAGATTAGGGCAGTTTAAGGGGGCTTGCTCATTCGCGAATCAGACAATCACAGGCTTTCCTGGCTGCGTGAGATGTGACATTACATCGAATATCTTCCTAGCTAGAACAGAGCACGTGCTAGATATTGGAGGGTGGGATCCGGAGTTGAAGATCGTAGAGCACAGAGACTTTTATATCAGGCTAAAAGCTGCTGGTCTGAAACTTGTTGTGTGCAAGGATGTGACTGTGTATCATGGTAGACCTCGTAGAGGTTCCGATAAACAAGGAGGAGAGGATTTTCTTGAGAAGAGGAGGAGAGGAGGCAGTAGGTTCAAAAGCCTCATCATGAATAGGTGGAATCTACAGGGAGTGTTTGAACGGTCTTTAGAAACTTTTACTCTAAATGTGGCTGGGGATGTTGAGTATTTTATCGCAGGTGATCCAGGGACCTGCTGAATTGCACTTTGCAGACAGTAGGCACTGGGAGTCATCAATTTATATTCTTATGTCTTCGTAAAATATCATTTTATTTTCAGTTTTTTAAATTTATGTTTTAATTTTGAACAGGTAGGTGGAAGAAGAAATCGTTACACTTACAGTTACAATAGAAAAATTCAGCTGAAATATCGATATAATTTCTATTGAAATTTATTCAATCAATAAACGCCTTTCCCGAGGCATGTTTATGAAGATTCTGATCTGAAGCTTTTCAAAAACTAAACAAAATATGGTAATTATGGCCCGCTAAACCGTTCAATGTTCAAGGAGTAAATTTATGATTTGTTTATTTTAAATCGAATTTAAACCCTTGTGCAGAAGATTTGAGTAGTGTGTCCTGTCTTCTCGATAGTGGAGTGAGCGATGCTATCGAAAGTGTCTCTCTCCTCTCGGAGACCGTACTTCATGCTCATCATGGCCTTGCCGTATTCTTCGTCCCCAACTAGAGACCATATAGCGTCTCCAGCTCGGTAGTTTTCTGTGAAACACAGCTCGTAACGCCAGTAGCTGCCGAGGAAAAGTGTTTGTTAGGGTTTGGAAAAATGTGTTTATTATCTTACAACGTTATAGGACACAGTTGGTACAAATTGTCAATTGTGATGCATGGTTTATTTTTCTTGCTCTAGTTCATACAAATTGTAATATTACATGTTTTGAGTGTGCATTGTCCAAAATAATTAATGCTGATTGCTGAAGAATGAAACTCAAAGCTGGTCCAATAAATGCACAAAATTTTACAGCAGCCTCCTATATAATAATATAATGTCAAATGTTTTATCACTGACTTGTCTCCCTGCAGAGGTTCGTTATCCTTGGTGAAGGTGAAGTCAGTGAACCCGGTCTGCTCGATAAGTCCCTTAAGCACATCAATCTCAGGGGTCCTTGTTTTCAGCATCTCACACGCTTCTGGCATTGCGTTGTTGTACCTGGGTTGAAGGTTTTTAACAAGTTATATACTCGGGATAGTGGACAGATTTAGTTTTATACTCGCGAAACTGGTACATTGTAGGTTTGCCGGGTACAATGTACAATGTACAATGTACAATGTACATGTTGCGGTCTGATCCAACTCTAACTTCATAAACAAAGGCTGACTAGTGACTTGTCTCACCAGACAGCAGAGAGTTGGTCGTGAGTACAAGTGTTGATGCTGAGCATGCCGCCAGGCTTGAGGATCCTGCCGAACTCCTTAAACAACTCAGTCACGTACTTCAACTTGTCGAACACTCTCAGGTCTACGATGTGGGGTAGTACCTGTGCAGGGGAAAGGGGCGAGTGTCAGCACTGATTCAGTTATTCACTTAGCTGGTGTTCGAGTGTACCTATTATCAAAGTAAAGAAACCTCCAATTTGTGCTGTTGTCATGGAAAAGTAAGTTTAAGAGCCTTGTTCTGTCGAGATCTTGGAATATTGTTGCACCAATAATCATAAACTCTATGAATTCGCAGTCAACTACTTGCTGACTAGCATGATCAGCTTAGTCACTGATCATAACTTACACACCTGATTGATGAGAACAACATCGAACACGTTATCCCCAAAAGGCAGATCCTCCAACAAGGACCCAGCTAGAGTGGTGACGTCAGTAGTAACACTCTCATTGCTCCTCACAGCTTTTGCCTTCTTTCTTGCGTGATACAGCATGCCCTCGTTGACATCCATTCCGATGTAGGACTTTACTTTGCCACAGTGAGCCAGGGGGATCATGTAGTTGCCTGGCAGGAGAATTGGTTACACTTATGTTCTTTGTTACTGTTTTAGTTGGTTACTAGTTATGGCAAATGTGATCACTGAACGGGTTAAGTGTGGTACTGTTATGGAAAGTTACAAGCTGTTGAGCTGGATCGTAATCTTACAAGCTCTTATTGCTTATGATTTGTTAACCTGTTCCACAGCCCGCATCCAATACAGCACAGTCCTGTGGAATCTTCTCGATAATCTGTTCCACACAGACGGGAGTCCTGCCTGATTTGTCGTAAGAGAAACTCGCTTTTAAGTAGTCCTGACGAGGGAGTACAAAATTTACTAACATCTGTCATCTGTGTCATGAAATTTATATTTTGTTATATTCAACTGCGAAAATGTTCGTAAAAACGGATTTTGACGAATAATTTCACGATGAAAGTTTTCGTAGTTCTTGGACGTTCAAATCGTCTAAGCCTGAGAAATGAACCATATCATTATTTCAACATTTTTCACCTCGAAGTCTATCTCCTCGTTCTCCACTCGTGACTGATCAGCAACTAGACACGTAAGATCAGCAGTGGTCTCCACCCCAACATCTGGGTCCACCATCTTGCTGCTTCCTGCATCCTGGGGCACTGGCACTGAGATCGTCTGCGACATATTATCCATTCACACCTAGTTGAAAGCAAGGCAATATATCTGGTTAGGTTTTTAGATGAATTACAGAAAAATAATTTTGACTACTTCAAGGCTCAAACTGACCGATATGATAACGTATTCTCATTATCTATATTTTATATCAATAAATTTGTACCCTATGACGTCTACAATCTCGACTTTAAAATTATATCTTGACTTTAAAGTTATATCAATATCACACTAATCCGTATTCCGGTTTTGAGTTGTCTTTGTGCTAAGAATTTGTATTATAATATAGGTACTTTACGTTATAAATAGAGTCGTGTTCTTGAGAGTTTGCACTTTGGCCTTTGCAGCTGCATATCCTGATTTAATTACAGCTGAAAATATACTTACCTTACACTCAAGTTTCAACTGTGAAGGTTTTCCGCTGAAAGGTTTCTGATTACATTTTTTGTAACTGTTAGCCTGTGCTATTGAACGATAATTGACTGGTTCTACTTGTTTGGTTTCTGTGAACTTCTTATTGAAGTTCCAATCTATCATGATCGCTATAGTGTTGAGAAACGTTAGTAAGAGCGCTGCAAAACTTTCTTCTTTTCATTCTCGAACCTTCTCGAATATTGGCCCATTAGAAACATCACAAGTGGAGCAATGGAGACACTCGGGTTACACGGTTGTTTCCAATCTCCTGGAAAGGGGTCTTATAGAGGAATCCGCGCATCTCATGGCAGACCCGAACAGGAAACACAACTGGGACTTCGGTTCTGACGGAGAGTTCGAGTTTCCGACAGGTCACGTGATAGATGAGATCACAGTACACGAGCAGCTGATTGGAGCGGTGAAGCAGCTGTTGGGAGAGGAGGAAGTGCTGTTGACTCAGAGCGATGCTTGGTTGAAGGCAGGAAGCAAGGACAACAATCCTCAGAGTAACAAGAATCAGAGGTTCCACATGGACTACGGCAACCACACTTTCCTACACCCACCAGAGTGGCAACAACCTGAAGCTGTGGCTGCTATTGTTTATTTATCCGATATAGGTGAATATAATTTTAATTTAGTGTTGCTATCTTGTTTTAATATCTTTTAAAGAATCAAATGACTACAATGTGAAATTTTCAATTTTGGTCTTTGTCCACAATTATTAAAATACACAATTCCCTTATTCATAGTATTAGTTATCATACATCAGAATTGTGGCGGGGTGGCGATCATTACTTCATTAGTATTCTTTGACCAATAAAAACTGAGGATCACAGTGACTTGATATGGTTCACCTCCAGCATCATAATATATTAACGCACTAATTGCCTTATCTAGAGAAAACAGGAGGGGGCACAGCAGTAGTGGAAAGGACAGGACCAGAAGACCAACTCTACCAACCACCCTACATAAACATGCCCGGACAGGCCGGCCACCCCTTTATCAACGACAGAGATCACTGTGAGACTTACTTTGCTGAGAACTTCCCTGAAGTTGCAAGGTTTAGAGAGAAGCTATATCAGAGACAGGTTGGTTCTACTGCAGAGTGATCTTCGTTAGTTTGTGTCGCCGAATATGGTTGAACCAAGTATAAGATTTATCTCAAGCTGCCAACTTTTTATATCAGGACCATGGAATTGCCTCGCCAGTCTATGTTTAATATTTGCTCATCCCTATAAACACATTAGGTTATACCCGACTATAGTAAAGGCGACGTATTGTTGTAGAGATACGACACATGGCATAGAGGGACCCCAGTTCATCCCAACCAGGTGAATCATGGGGCCGGGGGGATGAGATTTAAATAATACGACTACTCCTTCATAATCTCGGAGATTGTTTCCGTCTTTTGACGCTTATTTCTTATTATTACATGCTCATGAAACTCCTCAATATGAGTCCATCTTAATTCTTAATAACCCCGTCTCCCTGGTCTCAGGTCCGCTGTGTCATGAACCTCGCCTGGAAGAAGAAACAGTCTCACTGGTTTGGGGTGTGGAACCCCGGGTGGGCCACTAAGAATTACTATGGGGTCTCCGAGAAACTGTTTACTGATATGAGTCCGGTTCAAAGGGCCACGATAGGAGTACCGCTACCTGGACACCAGTATTGGGATAGGAGGAAGTTGGGGTATCTTCAGGCTCGGTACCCTAGTATTGACATCAAACCTTACCTCGAGAAGCTTGACTAGGGTTGAAATTTGTTTAGCTTGTACTTACTGGTCATTAATTTGTGGGGGCTACAATTTTTTGTTAATGTTATTCTGAAAAATATATTTGTTCGGTTTAAGTGATTGGTCATCGGCGCAAAAAGTGAACTGAAGGGTTTATTACCATCAAGGTCTACCTAACTACAAAATAAGATTTTAAATATAAGTGATCTTGCTATGACTTGTGAAAGTTACAAACACAACTAAGTCTAAAGGTGCGTACAAGGAAAAGCTCTTACCTACTGGGCTGAGATTCCTTGCAAACAAAACATTGTCGTCATTAAAAGTCTTCAGAGGTCGGCAAATTTGAATATATTAAAATAGAATAAAGCTGAAACTTTTGCCGGTGATGCCTCGCAATATTGTCAAGGCAGGCAATGCTATCATCAGGAGGTGCTTCACCTTTCCTGCCTCATTGCTTTCATTTATCTCAATAGAGAAAATGTACCGTGTAAACAAACATGTGAGGAATCTTGGGGTTGGACGTAACAGGAAAATTTCAGGAAATGATAAAGAGGGGAATCGAATGAAGTAGGGACTTCCTCACACTTGAAGTAGGGACTTCCTAACACTTTTCCTGCTTAAGTGCTTTATCGCGACTATAATATGGCTGAAACCGAGATTGATATGATTCAGAGTAGAGAAAAAGTACTGTAATGTATAAGTATTAAGTATTGTTAAGACTCTGATGTATAAGTTAGTAAAATACTAGATAACATGATGATCCTTGACTGGAGTATTTGATTTGCTTCCTCTAAGGACTAATTAAGGGGGCATACACCAAAACAGTGGTTTGTGCCGTCCAGACCAAATGACCTCATATGCAGTTCAGTGACCTTCTAGCGCACCGTTTCCACACCAAAAAAAATCATTTTGAGAATACCCATTTTTGTAATCGAGCATTTCCTGGTTAAGAGTGCAATTTTCGAAAAAAATTATTTTGTGGTTGAGACGCTATAAGTTAATCATTTCTTGCGGTATCGGATTGAAATTTTGCTCGCCGTTTGTTCACATCTATGTCAAGGTGTGTGTAAAATCTTGATATCGTATCTAAAAAGGCTGGTGTGTTATGAATTTTTAAAGTCAAAAAGCTAAAATTGTCCTTTTCAGGCTTATTTTAACAAAAAGTCAGTCAGGGAAGATCGGATTATTTGATGCTTGACATCAAATTATTCTCTGAATTCTGGCGCAGTTTTTGATGCCCTCAAAAATGTTTTTACTCATTCACCTTCTGATCTATTGGACCTCAAAGCCAAACAACAAATTTAGGCACATTTTTCGGTTTTAATATTTACCGATTTTTCTAAAATTTTGATAGGAATGTGCTAGTGACTTTTTGAAGGGTGCAAAATAACCGCAACTAGCACATTTATATATGAGTTATGAACAACAAAACACCCTTAAATGCTTCTCTTTGAAGTTATGGGAGAAAATGTGATTTTTTATCTGCAAAGCCAATAGAATAAAGCTGAAACTTTTGCCGGTGATGCCTCGCAATATTGTCAAGGCAGGCAATGCTATCATCAGGAGGTGCTTCACCTTTCCTGCCTCATTGCTTTCATTTATCTCAATAGAGAAAATGTACCGTGTAACCAAACATGTGAGGAATCTTGGGGTTGGACGTAACAGGAAAATTTCAGGAAATGATAAAGAGGGGAATCGAATGAAGTAGGGACTTCCTCACACTTGAAGTAGGGACTTCCTAACACTTTTCCTGCTTAAGTGCTTTATCGCGACTATAATATGGCTGAAACCGAGATTGATATGATTCAGAGTAGAGAAAAAGTACTGTAATGTATAAGTATTAAGTATTGTTAAGACTCTGATGTATAAGTTAGTAAAATACTAGATAACATGATGATCCTTGACTGGGGTATTGGATTTGCTTCCTCTAAGGACTAATTAAGGGGGCATACACCAAAACAGTGGTTTGTGCCGTCCAGACCAAATGACCTCATATGCAGTTCAGTGACCTTCTAGCGCACCAAAAAAAATCGTTTTGAGAATACCCATTTTTGTAATCGAGCATTTTCTGGTTAGAGTGGAATTTTCGGAAAAACACAATTTGTTTCATGGAGAGGCTATAAGTTAATCATTTCTTGCGGTATCGGGTTGAAATTTTGCTCGCCGTCTATTCACATCTATTTCAAGGTGTGTGTAAAATCTTGATATCGTATCTAAAAAGCCTGGTGTGTTATAATTTTTTAAAATTAAAAAAAGTCAAAAAGTTGAAATTGTCCTTTTCAGACTTATTTTAACCAAAAAGTCAGTCAGGGAAAATCGGATTGATTTGATGGTTGACATGAACTTGTTCTCTGAATTCTGGCGCAGTTTTTTATGCCCTCTAAAATGTTTTTCCTCATTTGTCTTCAGATCTATTGGACTTCAAAGCCAAACAACAAATTTAGGCACATTTTTCGTTTTTCATATTTACTGATTTTTCTAAAATTTTGATAGGAATGTGCTAGTGACTTTTTGAAGGGCGCAAAATAACTGCAACTAGCACATTTATATATGAGTTATGAACAACAAAACACCCTAAAATGCTTCCCTTTGAAGTTATGGGAGAAATTGTGATTTTTTGGCTTTGCAGATAACTTATAGCCTCTCCACGACCGTCATCCTCTTTGCTCAATTTTTACATTTAGACTCATCAGAAGTCATTTAGCAGAAGTCATTTGTCTGTCTGTCTGTCTGTCTGTCTGTCTGTCTGTCTGTCTGTCTGTCTGTCTGTCTGTCTGTCTGTCTGTCTGTCTGTCTGTCTGTCTGTCTGTCTGTCTGTCTGTCTGTCTGTCTGTCTGTCTGTCTGTCTGTCTGTCTGTCTGTCTGTCTGTCTGTCTGTCTGTCTGTCTGTCTGTCTGTCTGTCTGTCTGTCTGTCTGTCTGTCTGTCTGTCTGTCTGTCTGTCTGTCTGTCTGTCTGTCTGTCTGTGAGTAATTTCTGAACGGCTTGATCAAGAAAACGGCAAGAGTTACAGGGTTGGTTTTTTCGGTATGCCAAATGATTAACGTTTTTTAAATCAGCCGGTGGTAAGTGGTTTAATTGATGGTTTTTGTACTGTTAATGTGATATTAAAGTAGCTCACTTTTTGTCACTCTCGTCTCTCACACTTTCTCTCTTTCTCACTCTCTCTCTCCATTTACAGCTCCCCTAAAGCCCTAATTACTGCTTTGTACAGAATTATGTATGTGTAATTTGGCAGTGGAGCCTTATTAATAACTAGTGTAACCTGTGCCTTATGCCTACGGCCGGGACTTTACTATCGCAGTTGAAATGCAAAAGTATAAACCTGCCTATTAGTATTATATTCGAAAACACGCATTACATTTTCGTAGTTAAAACGGTGCGAAAGTATGAACTCGCTCATTCCAAACAGACCACAATTTGATTCTGAGTGCCCCTCAATGCTTGATAACTTCGTTATTTCTAATCAAAATCCGTTTCACGTCATTTTTCAGATCATATGCAACATTTAATAATCTACCGTCTCTGAAAAAATCAGGCGTCCAGCATGTTCAGAAAAAACAATATAGGTGTTTTAATTTTGAATGGGCGTGGTCTAAAATATTCGAATTTTAAAATTTTGACGACGGAATCCTCGAACCAGAAGGTACAGTATGCTATCTGCAAAGCAACACCTCTCAAATATAAAACACGGCGGAGCTATTAAGGCCAACGTACAACGTATGTCCAGTGACTTTTGGCCCACCCTGCAGTAGTAATACTTGATACTGATAAATAATGCACATAAATGACCACGAACTACTACAAAATTTGCAAAAAAAACCTGGTCATTAATGTCAGTATTATAGAATTTGCTGAAATATACATATTATACATTAAATTTAATGCACATTAATGCCCATTTATGCCCATTAATGCACATTAATGACCGTTTTACCCCCCCCGTCTGTTCCCTTTTCGTGTCTAAAGTATACCGAGCACCTAAGGTGTTAGGACATGTGCGGCGACAGTACTGGGAAATACAGTACATGTATTAATATAGTGGAGCGATTTAGAATTGGAGATCTCTGAAGCTGATATGGGAGAGGGGGGGGGGGGGGGGGGGGAGGGGGCGTACTGCTCTCAATTTACCGAATGTTCTAGAACACTGGAAATGTGATTTTAACCAAACAGTTTATCCCTTTCCAAGTTGTCCACGTCAGTAACGCTTCGAACTCCTTGTTACCCTAGTCACTTGACACATTTCTCGTACTAAACAAAGTTAACCCCAACAGTCACGAGTAAAAACACACTTCATCACATAAAGAAGGTATTGATACAAATAAGGAAACCTGGTAAAAGTGCGTTGTCATGGTAACTAACCTAGTATAGCTTCTAAATCGCGCTTTGCATGTTTCGTCCTGAGAGAGCTCTCCCGTGACCTGGTGATACCTGGGGAAAAAAAGTACTAAAGTTACTATCGTCATTATTATTACTAAATTATATAGTTACTATCGTCATTATTATTACTAAATATAGTTACTATCGTCATTATTATTACTAAATATAGTTACGGACGTCCTACTTGAAGACACTGGAATGGAACCTGACCAGCTGCGTTTACTCATGTGTGATAGGGATAAATGGAGAGAAGCGTTGACACGAAACTCGTTCCAGATTTCATCTGGATCGACCTAGGCAGGCAGGTAGGCATCGTCATTATTATTACTAATTAATATAGTTACTAAATTTTACTTAATTTTACCATAGAGTTGAGTTACTATAGTTACTATAGTTAACATGGTTACTACAGTTAACATGGTTACTACAGCAATAGTTACCATGGTTACTGCAGCTACATTCTCAGAAGGAGGGTATGTGCTACGAGAGTTGTATTATGATTACATTTACTGTGAGGTTAGTGTTGAGAGGAATGTAATATCTAATTCACTGTGAGGTTAGTGTTGAGAGGAATGTAATATCTAATTCACTGTGAGGTTAGTGTTGAGAGGAATGTAATATCTAATTCACTGTGAGGTTAGTGTTGAGAGGAATGTAATATCTAATTCACTGTGAGGTTAGTGTTGAGAGGAATGTAATATCTAATTCACTGTGGGGTTAGTGTTGAGAGGAATGTAATATCTAATTCACTGTGGGGTTAGTGTTGAGAGGAATGTAATATCTAATTCACTGTGAGGTTAGTGTTGAGAGGAATGTAATATCTAATTCACTGTGAGGTTAGTGTTGAGAGGAATGTAATATCTAATTCACTGTGAGGTTAGTGTTGAGAGGAATGTAATATCTAATTCACTGTGAGGTTAGTGTTGAGAGGAATGTAATATCTAATTCACTGTGAGGTTAGTGTTGAGAGGAATGTAATATCTAATTCACTGTGAGGTTAGTGTTGAGAGGAATGTAATATCTAATTCACTGTGAGGTTAGTGTTGAGAGGAATGTAATATCTAATTTACTGTGAGGTTAGTGTTGAGAGGAATGTAATATCTAATTCACTGTGAGGTTAGTGTTGAGAGGAATGTAATATCTAATTCACTGTGAGGTTAGTGTTGAGAGGAATGTAATATCTAATTCACTGTGAGGTTAGTGTTGAGAGGAATGTAATATCTAATTCACTGTGGGGTTAGTGTTGAGAGGAATGTAATATCTAATTCACTGTGAGGTTAGTGTTGAGAGGAATGTAATATCTAATTCACTGTGAGGTTAGTGTTGAGAGGAATGTAATATCTAATTCACTGTGGGGTTAGTGTTGAGAGGAATGTAATATCTAATTTACTGTGAGGTTAGTGTTGAGAGGAATGTAATATCTAATTTACTGTGAGGTTAGTGTTGAGAGGAATGTAATATCTAATTTACTGTGAGGTTAGTGTTGAGAGGAATGTAATATCTAATTCACTGTGGGGTTAGTGTTGAGAGGAATGTAATATCTAATTCACTGTGGGGTTAGTGTTGAGAGGAATGTAATATCTAATTCACTGTGAGGTTAGTGTTGAGAGGAATGTAATATCTAATTCACTGTAAGGTTAGTGTTGAGAGGAATGTAATATCTAATTCACTGTGAGGTTAGTGTTGAGAGGAATGTAATATCTAATTCACTGTGGGGTTAGTGTTGAGAGGAATGTAATATCTAATTCACTGTGGGGTTAGTGTTGAGAGGAATGTAATATCTAATTCACTGTGAGGTTAGTGTTGAGAGGAATGTAATATCTAATTCACTGTGAGGTTAGTGTTGAGAGGAATGTAATATCTAATTCACTGTGAGGTTAGTGTTGAGAGGAATGTAATATCTAATTCACTGTGAGGTTAGTGTTGAGAGGAATGTAATATCTAATTCACTGTGAGGTTAGTGTTGAGAGGAATGTAATATCTAATTTACTGTGAGGTTAGTGTTGAGAGGAATGTAATATCTAATTCACTGTGAGGTTAGTGTTGAGAGGAATGTAATATCTAATTCACTGTGAGGTTAGTGTTGAGAGGAATGTAATATCTAATTCACTGTGAGGTTAGTGTTGAGAGGAATGTAATATCTAATTCACTGTGGGGTTAGTGTTGAGAGGAATGTAATATCTAATTCACTGTGAGGTTAGTGTTGAGAGGAATGTAATATCTAATTCACTGTGAGGTTAGTGTTGAGAGGAATGTAATATCTAATTCACTGTGAGGTTAGTGTTGAGAGGAATGTAATATCTAATTCACTGTGGGGTTAGTGTTGAGAGGAATGTAATATCTAATTCACTGTGAGGTTAGTGTTGAGAGGAATGTAATATCTAATTCACTGTGAGGTTAGTGTTGAGAGGAATGTAATATCTAATTCACTGTGAGGTTAGTGTTGAGAGGAATGTAATATCTAATTCACTGTGAGGTTAGTGTTGAGAGGAATGTAATATCTAATTCACTGTGAGGTTAGTGTTGAGAGGAATGTAATATTTAATTCACTGTGAGGTTAGTGTTGAGAGGAATGTAATATCTAATTCACTGTGAGGTTAGTGTTGAGAGGAATGTAATATCTAATTCACTGTGAGGTTAGTGTTGAGAGGAATGTAATATCTAATTCACTGTGAGGTTAGTGTTGAGAGGAATGTAATATCTAATTCACTGTGAGGTTAGTGTTGAGAGGAATGTAATATCTAATTCACTGTGGGGTTAGTGTTGAGAGGAATGTAATATCTGCAGTAACCATGGTAACTATTGCTAATTCACACATCCTTGTAGTAAGGCTTACTAAAGGTAAAGGAAGAATTGACCATGAACTGAACTGGGCACTGATAGCTAGAATTGTCTAATGCTTGACAATATCTTCGGCTTTTATGTATTGATCAAGTACCGAACATGTCCCACAATCAATATTTTATATATAATAACATGTATGTTAAAATAGCTTGATTTAGCACAGTCGTCCTAATGTCCCTCCGATTGGTTCAATGGTGCTACAAATGTTTGCAGCCCACATGGGGAGGGGGGCCGGCATTGTAGTCCAGAAATTTGGGAGAATGCGATTTTTAACAAAATTATCTGTTCTGATTAAGGCACAAATTTACGAGAATAAGTAATGACTGGTGGAAATAAATGTTTGAGTCATTTATTAGTAGTTTAATACTTGAAAACTGTTCAAGTATTTTTCTTGAATGACCAATTAATGAGTTCAGGGGTCGTTCACATATTACGTAATCAATGTTTTAGCAATTTTTACCCCCCCCCCCCCGTAATCAACCGTAAGCTTTGGAAACCCCCCCCCCCCCACTCGGCTGATTACGTAATTTGTGAACGACCCCTCACTGTGGAAAGTGTCGAGCCACAAGACCTAGTATTGAGGTCTGAAAGTTAGATTACCAAAGAAAGTTTTGATAAACGGAAAATCATCAAAATAAAAAAAGAGATTTTGGATGATCTTTGAAGAGAAGCTTTTCTGCCTTTTCCTTGACCGAAATTTCACTGTTTGACTCAATTGTTGTTTTGCCTGTTATAGTTGTTATCATATAAAATCTTTTTAATAAAATTTGTATATGATAATGTTTATATGATTTTTATATTATTTCCTTTCAGTGGATAAAAACGCAGCTAAAATAAAACACGAAAATTGAAATCAAAATGCTACGTAATGTTTATAAGTGAAAATCAAGATCATTATCCTTTCATTTTCAACATTTCATTTATTTATTTCAAATCTTATTAAAAATGCCTCTAATCTTAATTTTATTCCATGCTATAACAGAAGTATGATAAAGAATTCAAACCAAAGAAGATAAAGTATTTTAACAAATCATGTTTGCACTAATTAAACCACTGTTAGCTCCTGGACCGTTTTGTCCTCCAGCCTTCGTCTTCAGCCAGCAGTGGTTGTCAGACTTTCTTATAGTGAAGTTTCACACTCCATGTTCCTACTGATCTTGGCGTTGTTTTTAGAGGGTCCATTCTCTCCTCCTCTCTTCCTCTTCAACCAGCAGTAGTTGTCTGACTTCTGTAGAGTGTATGATTGGCAATCAGCTGTATCACTACACGCTATGGCACAGGCCTCATAGCTCTCAGCTCTGAAGCTCCTCAAATCTGCACCTACGAAGTCAAAACCGTCCATGGCACATGATCTGTCGGAAGCTACAAAGCCTGGTTTTGGAGCACAGTCGATGTTCATACTGATTTGACCATCAGAGGGTTTGGGTCCAGTCCGTCCTCCTCGCTTGTTCTTTAGCCAGCAGTAGTTGTTAGATTTCTTGAGGGTGAAGGACTGACAGTCTGGTGTGTCTCGGCAGTGGCTAGCACAGTCCTCGAAGCTTTCTGATATAAAGCTTTTGAGGTCTGCTCCATCGAAGTCAAAGTTGTCTCTTTTGCAACTACTGTCTACAGCTGACCTGTCACACTCCAAGTTCATGCTGGTCCGAGCGGCGTTGGTTGACGGGCCGTTTTGTCCACTTTTCTTGTTCTTCAGCAGACAATCTGAGTTCCTCATGGTGATGGATTTGCAGCCGGGTTCGTTAACACATGCCATGGCACAAGCTTCAAAGCTTGATGCGCTGAAACTTCGGATGTCAGCTCCATAAAAGTCAAATCCAACTCTTTTGCAATTCAAGTCATATGGGAGTGGCTCTGGCTGTGGTTCTGGTTGTGGTTCTGGCTGTGGTTCTGGATGTGGTTCGGGTTGTGGTTCTGGTTGTGGTTCTGGTTGTGGTTCTGGTTGTGGTTCTGGTTGTGGTTCTGGCTGTGGTTCTGGCTGTGGTTCTGGTTGTGGTTCTGGTTGTGGTTCTGGTTGTGGTTCTGGCTGCGGTTCTGGTTGTGGTTCCGGCTCTGGCTCTGGTTCAACTTTTTTGTCGCAAGAGTAGTCACATTTCTTTAACCGTTTCTCGATCGTTCTGCATTTCCTCATATCCTTTTTATTAAGTTCCCCATCTCCAGAGATACACCCTGCTGTTGATTTGTATCCCTCTTTTAGACACGACTCAAACTTCAAGACGTTCTTGGCGCATCTCGCTGCAGCTCTTCTTCTCCTTTTGTCTCCTTTTGCTCCTTCAACGAGTCCAAGGACGGCTACGATAGCCACTAGAAAAACGAAAAGTCTCGCCATTGTGCTGAACTAAGGCTGAAAAGTGAGGTACGGACCACAGGACCGTCCTTTAAATACCGTAGTCATGCTCCGTCATTCCACACACATGAAAAGCAGTCTCCTTACCCATTAATCTCTAGCTTTTTTATAAAACACGTGATTCGATCACGTGATGTTATCTCATTGTAAACATGGTTTATTTGTTCCATTCTGGCGAGGATAGTTAATGACCAATGGAAGCACTTAAACATCGTGCCTGTTCTAAAAAAAGGGAATTTGACCAAAGTAGATAACTATAGAGGTATTGCACTGACATCTATACTATGCTATAGTGAGTAAGACTCTCAATAAGATGATACAGAACAGGATCAAGCCTGCCATGGAAGACATCTTAAGGATCAATCATAACGGATTTAGGGAGAGTAGGTCAACAACTAGCCATATTCTTGGTCTAAGAAGGGTATTCGAGGGAGCCCGGGATAAAGATCTGACTGCGGAAATGCTCTTCATTGATTTCAAGAAGGCATTCGACAGCGTGCACCGTGGACTCCTCATGAAGATCCTCCTGGCATATGGCATTCCCAAGGAGATTGTAGGTTTGATACAAAGAATGTATGCAGATACTTTTGCTCGTGTGATTACCGTGTGATGCAGGGAGACACCTTGGCGCCCTATCTATTCATAATCGTAATCGACTACATTATGAGGGTGTCCTTATATTAGAGGGTAAGGACGACCTTGATCTTATAAGTATAGTGTTGCGGAGGCACAAGATTTCCTTTGAAGTCTGGAACTGGCCGCCAACTCAGTTGAACCCCTTCAAGGACATCGTCGAAGGGGAAGACCACACCTCACATATATCGACATCCTTCGGAGGGACACAAGGACAAAAGAAAATCGCGATTATTTTGGCCAAAAATCGCGGCGCCGCGACAAGCGGTCCATTGTTCAATAACAAGCAAAACACAAATCAATAACTATAGATCCGACGACGTTTTTGACAAGTATCTGACAAGTGACAATCAGTTACAACACTGATTTCACCTACTGCACAATTTCATAATCCATGGTATGTCTAGTGGTCAATTTTATGTCTAGTGGTCAAGTCTTTCGCCAACAAGGTTACTTCAGCACTCAACAGGCGAGTGAGAGTGGGTTAAGAAATGCTTGTGAAAGTGGATTCCTGGAAACCAATTTTCTCCACGGACAATGCTATTATATATACCCTGATCATTATGAGCCTAACAGTTTTTGTTAGTTTTCTGGTAATGTTCAGGTAGTTTAATCCTGTCTAGTAGTAGTACTAATATAGATTTGATCACGTGGGGCCTGACTGCTATGATCGCTACCTATGAATCTGGAAAGAATGTGATACATCCTGGTTCCTTTATAGGGTTTATTATTTTATTTGTTATTGCATATTGAGCTGCTGAGTGTTGTGTTAATTGTTGCCGATCGGGAGAGACTCAAGGATCGAGGGACAATAGTCTTACATGTTCTGGAATTGTTGTTTACGCACTACACTGTACACATTCTTGACAAGTTTCTAAACGTACCCGTCCTCCCACACACATGAAAAGCAGTCTCCTTACCCATTAATCTCTAGCTTTGTTATAAAAACACGTGATTCGATCACGTGATGTTATCTCATTGTAAACATGGTTTATTTGTTCCGTTCTGGTGAGGTTAGTTAATGGTGATGTCCCTGACCAATGGACGCACTTAAACATCGTGCCTGGTCTAAAAAAAGGGAATTTGACCAAAGTAGATAACTATAGAGGTATTGCACTGACATCTATAGTGAGTAAGACTCTCAATAAGATGATACTGAACAGGATCAAGCCTGCCATGGAAGACATCCTAAGGATCAATCAGAACGGATTTAGGGAGAGTAGGTCAACAACTAGCCATATTCTTGGTATAAGAAGGGTATTCGAGGGAGCCCGGGATAAAGATCTGACTGCGGTAATGCTAGTAGTAGAGGAAAGCCCTTTATAGATAGTATCTTTTAGAAACTATACAGCACAGCAACCCTTTTTGAATAGTTTTCTCATTCTAATGTTTCTCTAACCTAATCCAAGCTCTCAGTAAATATAGAACATTTTAAAAGTTACCTGAAAAAAACGGAGTTGACTCATCACATTCGAATGTAAACTGAATCGGAGCCATATAACTGAACAGAAGCAAGCTCTAAATATGTGCCAGCTACAGCTCAGCAGTATCATATACAATATGGTTTAAAGTACTATCTAAAGATTTGGAGTAGTATCATAAGCCTTTTTTAACCTAATGCAAAAAAGTGCATCAAAAAATATTTGTCACGAGACAAGTTAGGTCACTGTTTATGAACCGTACTTTTAAAAGTACGGTTCATAAACAGTGACCTAACTTGTCTCGTGACAAATATTTTTTGATGCAGTTTTTTGCATTAGGTTAAAAAAGGTCTGCTGATTATTTTAGCACCCTGACCAGATGGTTAACAAAAGCAAGAGATTTATAGGATGTTGGCAAAGGTGGTCAAAAATGGTACTTTCAAAAATGGTAAATTTTCGGTACCACCAGCCAATTCTCCAACTCTGATGGATCCCAAATTTGGTTTTTTAATATTGCCTAAACGATTATGCAATAAATAGGCAATAATGTGGAGCGACATACAAATCATAAATTGCCTCTAATTGAGATGTAAATTGGGTGTACTTTTAAAAGTACATCATTCTAGACAGTGATGTACTTTTAAAAGTACGTACTTTTAAAAGTTCATTATCTTTGTATGATGTACTTTTAAAAGGACAGGTTTCACGAAAAATGTACTTTTAAAAGTACAGGTTTATAATTATATAGACTACACAATGTCTGCTGGCTTAATTAATGCCGGTAAGACTGTCATGGCAGGTAAATTGTTCTGAATCAGAACGGAAGTCACAACAGAAATTTTCCGCTCTGATTCGCCAGCACTGGCATAATTTCACAGTTGACTATCACTTCATGTAATTATAATAGTGTGAGGTCTCCTTATGCAATGTGTTAATCCGATATCATTTATATTTATTACGTCTTTATATTATAACCTTTCAGTTTCATTTGGTGCAGTTTATAATAAACTTCGGTCTCAATTTATTAGACTGTCAGCAGTGCTCTCCGTGGGTATGAAGTATCGATTTTGTTGTAACGCCTTTTGCTGGTTTATTGACTAACATTTCTTAGCTTAGTATTTTCTTTTCTTATTGTAATTTTTCTTTTCTTAGTATATTCTTAGTTCATTTCTTAGCTAAGAACAGGACGTGTACATGGATTTGTCAGATACAGCGAAAAGGAGGAGGAGAAAGAGGAGCCCTGAGAAAGATGCGACCCTGGTGTGTTATACACTACTGTTATGCTATATAATATTACTTCTCTACATCTGTCATCATGAGATACAATCCAATTATAGGCATTTTCACATTGATGAACTTATTTATTAAATGGCTAATACTCAACTACACCAGGACCATAAATTCGACGTAGGCGATCTTGTTTACAAAGAATGGGGGAGACAGTGGGAGCCGGCTCGAGTACTGAAGATTTATAGAGGAGGATCAGGAGGGATCAAGATTCAGTTTGTGGAATGTAAGAGAATGCTACAGCAGGGTGTCAGAATTATTGGCGTGTTTGAAATTTTATGTGTATTTTATGATGAAATCAATATTTTTCGACGGGTCATAACTTTACTTCTGAATATCGGAATTACAAAATTCAAAAACTAGTCTGTAGACAATCGTCTGAACTTTTTCTTAATTTAAGAATTTTGTGTTGATGTACCTCAAAACCCATAATTTAGGCCGTTATCTAAAGGGTCGATTCCATACTTGGTTAGATTTACGAAGGAGTAAGGGATTTATGTGTAATTTTTTTTCGGTGAATTTTTTCTGAAATTATTCTTTAGACTAAAGTGCACAGCTCTTCAGGCAATAGCGAAACATATAGAAAACTATAGATTTTATAAAAGCTCTCTTTCTCCTCTAACTGACGCAATAAAATATAGTCAGGCGGACTCATCCCGGAATTCAGGGGAAGCAGCCAAAGGCTTCAAGTTCAATAATCCAAATTTTTCTCTTTCGTCGTGATTATCGACAAAATTTAACTTCTTTCGGACTTCTTTTTTAGACTGAATTGTAGTATGAAGGATTATTTCTCGAATGATCAAGACATCATAGGAAACTGACCCTCAGAAGTCAAGTTATGATCGTTTCTAAAAGCTTTGGTAAGCTAGAATTTTACGCAAAATTGTCTACGCGCCAATAATTATGACACCCTGCTGTAGATGTCCACAAACAAACCCTAAAGCTCCCAGAAGCTTTTCACAACTTAAAGAATACCGAAAATGGTGAGAATGAGAAGGGAGTAGCAGAAGCTGAGAGAGTTCTAGAGGAACAGAAGAGAGTGGCAGAAGCTGAGAGAGTTCTAGAGGAACAGAAGAGAGTAGCAGAAGCTGAGAGAGCTCTAGAGGAACAGAAGAGAGAAGCAGAAGCTGAGAGAGCTCTAGAGGAACAGAACAGAGTAGCAGAAGCTGATAGAGTTCTAGAGGAACAGAACAGAGTAGCAGAAGCTGAGAGAGTTCTAGAGGAACAGAAGAGAGTAGCAGAAACTGATAGAGTTCTAGAGGAACAGAAGAGAGTAGCAGAAGCTGAGAGAGTTCTAGAGGAACAGAAGAGAGTAGCAGAGGTTGAGAGAGTTCTAGAGGAACAGAAGAGAGTAGCAGAAGCTGAGAGAGTTCTAGAGGAACAGAAGAGAGTAGCAGAAACTGATAGAGTTCTAGAGGAACAGAAGAGAGTAGCAGAAGCTGAGAGAGTTCTAGAGGAACAGAAGAGAGTAGCAGAGGTTGAGAGAGTTCTAGAGGAACAGAAGAGAGTAGCAGAAGCTGAGAGAGTTCTAGAGGAACAGAACAGAGTAGCAGAAGCTGAGAGAGTTCTAGAGGAACAGAACAGAGTAGCAGAAGCTGAGAGAGTTCTAGAGGAACAGAAGAGAGTAGCAGAGGTTGAGACAATTCTAGAGGAGCAGAAGAGATTTGCAGAAGCTGAGCGAGTTCTAGAGGAACAGAAGAGAGTAGCATAGGCTGAGACAATTCTAGAGGAGCAGAAGAGATTTGCAGAAGCTGAGCGAGTTCTAGAGGAACAGAAGAGAGTAGCATAGGCTGAGACAATTCTAGAGGATCAGAACAACGCAGCTGAGGAAATGCATAGACTACAAGAGGAAAGGAATCTTACGTTGGAACAGCAGATTGCTGATGGCAGCCAATCATGTCAGTATTCAATAGTAAACATACATCGGAAACCAGTTACAAGATCTAGGATTGTAAACATTAAGAAAGAATACATTGAAGTAGAGGCCGCTCTGGAAGACGTGAAACAACCGGGTGAAAAAGTGGATCCTTCAAGATCGACTAAATCCCCAAAATCAAAGAAAATGGCTGAAGTTAAGAGAGAAATTCTAGAAAAAGATGTGAAGGAGTTAACAGGATCCAGACAATCAGCTCGAAGCAACACGAAGACCAAAAATAAAGCGAAGAAACAGAAAAATGTCCGTATTAATGTTCGAGAAGAACAAACTTCTTTGCATAATAACTTGAGAACGCTGGACGAAGCTCTAGAGCTGGCAACCACAGTGTCTTCGAATGAGATAGATGTTGTCATCCTTCCTCCGGATGGTGTTGAGAGTGATACGGAAATGATCGATGACAATGATGGTGACAATCTCCCCTTGTCTGCGGTAAAAGATACTGCTGGAACCTATGAGCTACATTTTGTAGGAGAAGAGTCAGATAATGAATTGGACACAGAACAATTGACGACCCCTGCCCCTATTACACGAAGTTCAACTGATGCTATTAATAATAAGTATCCATACATAGTCGCTTTTCGATCAGAAGTTCAAAATATTGTCGAAGACACATCAACAGATACATCTGAGAAGATCAATAAACTTTTAGGACTCTGCCCGAAGATTAATAACTCGTGTAAGTGGGTTGCCGACTCTGCTCAAGCTCCAAATCTTTCACCTCGCCAATCATATAGTGAGAAGGTTATTGCTAATAGATCAAAACTGATCCAAGATTTCGGTGGTTTGCTACCTCATGAAATTTTCGAGAAACTTGTAGATGACCCCGAAAACAGTTTGTTAACCCAAATTATCATTTATCACAGAGTCGGAGCGTTATGCTCATAGCCGATTTGGCGATTTAACCTTCAAGACAAACAAAGATGAAATTAAAACGTTTATCGGGGTTTTGCTTTTGTCGGGCTATCACAAGTTACCTCAAGCACACCTCTATTGGGATTCAAATGTTGATACTAATGTGAGTGTGGTTACTGATGCCATATCAAGGAACCGATATAATTTGCTGAAGAAGTACATTCATTGCGTAGACAATCGAGATGTGGACACCACAGATAAGTATTGGAAGGTAAGACCTCTCTACGATATCATGAATCAAAGTCTGGCTAAGTTCAAGAACCTTGATAATACGTTTAGTATTGACGAGC